ACAGTTTTTTTTTTTTGTAGCATTATCAAAAGTTAACTTCAAGTGCGCCGCCTCGCAGCTGGCTCGAGAGTGTTTCAACAATAAGAGCTACAGTAACAATCTATTGTGTTAGAAAAGCAGCTTTTCGTATGAAAAGCGGCTCATAAGAAAGTTGCTTTTGGTGCTAACTGGTGGCTAACTGATATTTCTTTAGTTGCACAAATTGGTTTAGAATCGTGAACCAGTCCGGTTCAGTTGAACCAAGTCAAAAGGCATTTGAATTGATTGAAATATTTAATGCCAAAGATAAGTTTCTTTTATGTGAAACGGTTTGAAGGTGTTTTCAAATTGCTTCCATGATAGTTCAAAGTTACATTTTTGGCCAAAAGCTTTAATTAATTGGCCTTCATTTGCGTTTTGAATCTACTTTGCCCTTGACGCTCATTGAGCTGGTTCATGTTCAGTCAATTGCCATTTTCTTAAATATTTCCTTAAATCAACTTTATGACAAACTTTGTTGGGTTTCCACTAAACTTGCGTTTGGTGTTTTACTTCTCAAAGGTATTTATACTCTACATTTTTCACATCAAATTTGATTTGTTTTATTGTGAATTTTACAAATAAATGAAAAGCCTGAGAATTTGGCACTTTCCAGAAATGGAATGTGCATTTCCATTTGGCTACGAGCTGCCAAGGCTGTCAAGGCAAAATATTTGCTAAATATTAAATATTTAAATAAAATTGAAGATACAGAGCAGACTCCTTTGTCCAAACTCAGCAAGAACCAATAGCAAGAATTTAATATTTACACAAGTGTAAATATACAAATATATATTTTCGCTTACAAAATATATAATTTATCGAATACGAATAACAGTTTACAAATCTCGTTAATATCAACAGAAAACTACTGAGGTATCGAGCGCATTCAATTATCGAGTAGAGTAATCGATTCTGCATTCACTTGCAACAGCTTTCTTTGCAACTTTGTAACTTCCTACGGCTTCTTTGAATTTGGCGTTTGAGTTCAATTGGGTAGTGCTTAAAATGCGCAAGGTAATATTGCTCGGCGGATAAATGTTTGCTTATTCCATCTCTGATCCGATTCTTGTTCTCTTTAAAATCTGTTTGGTATAAAGTTAGCTATAGAGCAGTCAATAAGCTGTGGACTGGTTCACAACGAGATCGCCACTGGTTCAATCAGCAAATGAGGGGCTTTCATCAACGTAACTAAATAAGCCATAAGCCTGATGTCTGGCATGTGAAATGCCAAACTTCCTGCATATAAAAGCAGCTGCCTGCCCAGCCTGACATCGCGTTCACAGCTCGTTTTGGTTCGGGTCGGTTTGGCATAAGTGAAATGAAGCCCGTCTCGCTATGTGCCTCTTGGAGGTCACCTTAATTATGGTCACAATTAACAGTTGGAAATTTGTTGGGCGCTGCATTTGGACTAGATGCAACGTGCCGCATCCCAACTCTCACTTGCCATTCACATGCAGGGACACATTTCATTTCATTTGGCATGACCTGACAGAGGCTCCATATATATGTGTATATATATGTATATATGTGTGACCGTGTCTGTGTATGGGTGTAATCTCATTACAAATTCAAATGCGCTGCGGCTGTGCGTCAACGTTGGCCTCTCGAGCTACCCCCGTCCACGCCCGCAATCCCCTTGTCAACTCACCGCGTGTGTGGACATGGCAAATGCTGCAACCGCGTTGTCACTCAATTATGTGCCATGTGTGCGCGACATAGCACACTTTTCAACACTGTCCAAAGATGATGCCACACGGCGCAACACACGATAACGGCGTGCAACATCAGTAGGAGCAGGGGCAGGAGCGGGGGCAACAGGCAGAGAGACAAATGAGCTGCTGGAGAACTGAAGAGCTGAAGTGGGCGGCAGTTGAGCGTTGAACGTTGTCCTCTGACCAGGCGACAACGCTTCAATGGATTTGCATACGAGTGCAAATTGGAAATATCTGAGTAGCTAATTAGTATGGTGGCTAGTTGGCGGTGAAGTGGCTCGGGGCAAAGCAAGAAGTGGCTTAAGTAGTTTTCATTAAGAAACTGGCAATAGTTCTTAAGATTAAGTTAGGTGGGGTTATACAAGCGATAGGCCTGAAGGTGTACAACTATTTGAGCTCAAGCTTACTGTTGAATTCGGAAATAAAGGAAGTGAAAGGGAAAGAAAGCGGGAGAGTGGGAAAGAAAGAGAGGAAGACAGAGGGCGAGAGAGAGAGAAAGAATGCAAAAACGAGATGCGAGAGAGATAGATAATATATTAAAATAGTACTTGTATATATATTCTAATGGAAAGCGTATTTGGGTTAAAGAGAGAGAGAAAGAGGGAGAGCAAAGGGAAAGAGAGGAAAGGAGAAAGAGAAAGAGAGAGAGAATATGGAGAGAGAAAATATTAAAATATAATGCCTATGCATTTTGATAGGTGACCAAGAGTTAGAAAAATAAGTCAATAGAGTAAAGTATGGACAACAATGAGACTTGCCATCCTATCAATATAACATTTATAAGTTAAGCAAAAAAAAAGTCCTTTTATGATTCGTGTGAATCGCATAGAAGGGCGTGTAAAAATTCTTTATTCTTTATTTGCAGCGCAGCGGGTAGACGTATTCAAATGAACTCACTCTGCCTTCTGTGTAAGAGGCAATTCAAGCGTAGCGACAGCATTTAAATATTTTCCTACTACTTTAAGCGCCGATTTTCACCCAGCGGAGCGGATTTCCGCATTCGAATTCCGTTTTGAGTTATACTGAAAATATGTTGAAAGCCCAACGAATTAAAAACAAAAGGTTGCAATCGACAATACACAGAACTCTTTTGAAAACATGCGAAGCATTTAAATCTCAAAAATATATCTTGCGTTACGAATTCCTTATTATCCGTAAACAGAATTCGTTTGCTGCTGATTGACAATACTCTCATTGATTTCAGAGAAAATTTCGAATTGTGAGATTATGCCTTTTCAGAGATAATCGAATTACAATAAAAATGCCCAGCATGGAATTCAATATGCGACGGCACGCGCCAATGAAGCTTTTGTCAAATTGAAATGAAGTATATCTACACCCTGTAAACATTGATATGGCCTACGAAAGGGTTATGTGTTGAAGGTGTATGCAACTGGCCAGCGGTCGGCTGCTTCGGTACCATATGGTGTACCATATATATTCTTGTTCAGATTATATTACCTTATGAGGTAATCTATAAAAATCTACAAAGGCTAGATACGTGCAACTTAACATATATGTTTATTCTTACACAATCTCGCTTCACATTCTCATAATATCGATAAATATCGATTTGGAGTCATGAAGGTGGGTAGAGCCTTGCGCTTTGGTCTATGCTGTTATGGAATTCGAACTCTTAACATCGGAGTTATGTCAGCAAGCGCTGTACATAGTATGCTTTTTTCAGGTGGAAGAAGCAAGATATCGCCATCTTGACGCTGTTACAGGGTATCTGTACGTTGCCCATTTGTATTTTATTTAAATATTTGGTATTTGTTATTATGCGTTGGCATAAGTTGGGATTGTCGATGGTTTAAGGGCAGTCGCGGCCCATTCGGCTTCATCATTCGCCACTTGGCAGCTTTATGTCATTCCTCATTCCCGGTTAAGTGATGCATCTAATTTGCAGCTGTTGTCGCTGCCGCCGGCGTAGCTGCCGCAGTTGCTACCTTGGCTGCAGATGAGAAGAAAACTTGCGTAGAATTTGCATTTGCTGCTTGGAAAAATGTTTGCATTTACTTTGCGCCGTGCGCAACCTAACTAATGGCAACAGTGGGGCACCGTCTCACGCTCTGCCACTCCCCACCGATGGAGCGCCGTGAGGCGGCTGCTCCTTGTGTTTGCTTGCTGCGCCGCATGCTCGTTAATTTTGCAGCATTTCCGCTAGCAATTTGGTGGCAGAGTCGCCATTGCCAGCGCCGGCGTCGACGTCGTCGTCTAGTGGAAATATTACGTATACGCTATGCAAAAAGCGCCAACCGGAAATGCAGGAAGCGGATATTACACGCTCCAGAAAACACACAGCACATCGCGCCGCACGGCAGTCGAATAATATGCTCACAGATATGACTTTTGATGACAAGCGGCAAGTTGGCGGGTGGCTGGGGCTCGGGCTCTGAGGCGCTGACAAGCAATGGCGACATTTTCCTTATTGCTGTTGTTGTTTTTTCTTTGTTGTTGTTGTTGTTGATGTTGTTGTTGTTGCTGCGGCTGCTACAGCTGCGTTTTATGCATTTTTCGTATTTAGACAGCTGGCCAATGTTGAAGCTGTTAACTTTAGCGTCGTTTCGCTGTCGTTTCAATACCCCGTACACTAACAATTTGCAAACGGGGCGTATACATTATCTGTAATGTGATTGAGCGAAAGCAGCTTGTGTTGCATTAAGCAGGTATGTATATATATATATATATATATATACATATATATATATGGTACTAGATATATTTCCTGTGTTCTCTTATATATATGTGCTTTTAGATATACTCTCTGTATTCTCAGAGAGTTTCATTCGAATGGCCTTGCAGTCACAAAATAAATGGGCTGTTAATAAAATTGTTGGATGTATATTTAATATAGCTTAGGCAAGTAGCTTTATGAAGAGTGGGTCGTATGTTACCCAATACATACATAAACTTATTTACATTTACATAAACTTATACATGTACGTGCGTACAATCAAGCCGAAGCATTAACTAAACTGTCAGCTTCAAAGTGCTTCAACTGTAAAAAAAATAGTATACAATTCGGTATAAAATGCTTGTTAGCCACATATTCTGTTTTTTAAGCTCGCATAGACAAGCATCCTGGCAGGAAACAGAATCTGAAATGGTTTAACTAGGCGTATACTTAATATATTTAGTTGAGGCGATATTACAAGTATAGTTGCATATACCATTGCCCAGATGGTACATCAAATATTTATTAAAAAATATATAAAATATTTTGAGCATAAAAATTAATATTGGAATCACAATTGTTCATTTCAGAAAGGAGCTGATTTGTGGAACAACTGTGGCGTAAGCCTTTGTCAATTTGGTAAGTTCAGCACAAATCATTAGCCTTTAATCGCACGAATCCAAAATAGTAGACCATTTTATAATCAAACCTTTTTTACCTGAGTTCTACAAAATTATACACTTTTCAAAAACTTTAATGCATAACCTTGAGCATAGCTCGGTTAAATGCTGTTCAATCTTGGCAATAGATCAATTTTTTGCAATAATTGTGATTCCTTGGTGAATTTTTGAAAAATTGTGAAAATTAAGAAATTGTTTTTGTTTTTTTAAAGTCCAACGATTTTCGTGCTATGCACGAGTCCAAAATGGCATATCATTCGAAATTCGGACATAAAATGCATCAAATTTTGTTGATATTCGGAATAGACTTTTGTCAAAATTGTTACCTGAACTTAAATTTCACTAAATTAACGTAAAAAGACTGGTGAATTATTGCAATAGTTAATTTAAGTTGAAAGTTGTCTTCTTGGTTTTTTTTTTTTTCAATATTTTACACCTGAACAGGTCATCTCAAAGTCGGATACTCGCACGCAATCCCAGCTGCAGCGAGCTTTATGCATGTATTGTGGACTGAGCGCTCTCCTTAGACTGTTTGTAGGGGGCATCTGTTAGTCGGGTATGCGTTCGGCTTGCTCTTCAATTGGAGCGTGCAAAATGGGCATGGGGTGGGATGGTTTTTCCTTTTATTTCTGTGTCTGGCTGTGGTATGGCCCATTGAAGTGCCGTTGAGTTTGTCTGTGCAATTGTTGCGGGAATTCAATTTTTTCAAGTCAATAGATCAAAGACAGGAAATGGCTCGGCAATGTGGTTGGCAAACATTTGCATTAACTCACCTTTTAGCTGAACGACTTATAGTAAAATAAAAACTCGAGAATGTTTTTTTTTTTCGTGTAAGATTTCTTTGTTTTCTTTATTGAACATAATAATTTGTTGTTGTTGTTGTTGGTTTTTAATGCTGGCTCACTTGCTTGTTAAATGTTTGTCTCTTGTCTTAAGTTTAAATTTAATTTATTTAGGTTTAATCGTTAAGGTTTTCTCGTTTTCTTTTTATTTATGCAACTTTTTAAACTTTATTTCAATTGTGTTTTTTTTTTTTTTTTGGTTTTTTTTTGTTTTTAATTTTAGAATTGTAGCGTATCCATATGCGTAAATTTATTTTTATTTGTATATTCTTGATTTTTTGTTTATCAATTTGTTAGCTTTTGCAAAAAAAATGTTAGCCATAATAATGAACATTATTCTGTAGCTGTCTCTTTAGCTTCGAATATATATCTATATATATACGCACACATCTAGGTCTGTGCGTATACCTATGTATATATGTGAAATGTTTGGCTGTGTATGTGTGTGTGTTCATATATTTTTCTTGCATTTTTTAGTTGCTAATTAACATTATTGACAAAATATATTTATATATATATTTATTCAAGTACAATATTTATAATTTTAATTCAATTTTCAATTATTTTTCTTTTAGGCTTTACACAAATATTTTTATTTTCTTTTAATATGCCTTGTCTTTGTATGCTTGTGTGTGTTAGTGTGTGTGCTTGTGTATGTAAATAGCTTTTTCAGCAGTCAAATAATTTCATTTTCCTTTAAGTTCTTGTAGATGTGTGTGTGTGTGTCTGCGGTTAATTCAAATATTTAAATAAAATAATTTGCTCGTGCATGAATAAATGCTTAAATATAAATATTAAATTGCAAATTTTAATATTAAATTTTAGTTTTGTATAAATTTAAAACTGTCAGCCATTTTCTATGTTTAATAAAAACATGTAAGATTATTATTTATTTATTTTCATTATTATTATTTGTTGTAATTTATTTTTTAATTTACTACGCTTTTATGCTGTATGCCATGCCCTTTGTATTTGACTTTTATTTAATACTATAAAAACTGTATTATTTAAAAATTATTGTTTTTTGTGTTTGCTAAACTTTCTCATGTCGTTATATTATTATATTTATGCCTTTGCTGCGCTGCTTTTAATTATTTTAAAAGCTAGTTTTTATCATATTACAAAAAAAAAAACATTATTTATATATGCATATATTTTATTATGTTATAATTACTTTAGCTTTATTTAATTTAAATATTCATATTTTTTTAGTTGATTTATTTATGTAAATTCTGTTTTGCTGTAGCTTTAATTATTTAATTTTGCGTCTTGCGTTTTTCTTTTTGGCGGTTTAGTTAGTTTTTATTTTCTTTTAGGCTTCTCGTGTAATCAACATAGACTTCGTTATGTTTAATTATATATTTTTTTGTTGCTCTTTGCTTTAAAATTAAGTACACACATACTTTTAAGCTAGTTCTCAATTTATGTACAACATTTAAGTTACTAATAGTGTTAAATTTCTATTTATTTTTCCACTATGCATGTATTATTTAATTATACTTTTTGCACGTGAACTCAAAGGTATTAGATTAAATAATTAATTAATTGCATTTGTATTTATTTAAGAGCATAGTTTTTCATTTGCATGCATTGTGCGATCTCTTAAATTATGTACATAACTAATTAGGCGGAAAAAATAGTGAAAAAAAAACGACACAAATTGCAACAATAAACACCAGCAACAACTTCTGTAATATTCATAGAAATTTCTGCCATATGCCAAATTAGCAGTAATTAAGACCAAAAAATGTACAGCTAATTAACCAAGAATTTCATACACACTCACCCACACTCACCCACACACACACACAAGCACACACTCAGGCGCAAACACACGTGAAAGAGAACCAATACAAATTGTTGCATAATAATATTTTAATTAGATTTTTAATTATCATAATTAGTTTTTTTTTTTTTTTTTTTTTTTTTTTTTTTTTTTTTGCAAGCATTTGGAGCTGCATTAAAGTTCAACTTTAAGTACATAAATTTTGGATGGATGCATTAGTCAGTTGATAAGTTACAAGAACTTAAGATTATCTCAAAAAAAAAAAAAAAAATCTGAAATTTTTAATATGTTACTTAATTCATTATTTTTTATGTTTTTCTCTACACAACACAGCAAACATCTAGAATTTTGGGGGCTTATCATTTGGTTAGTTTTGTCATAGGTTTGAAATTTGTTGTTATTTTTTTTTGTTTTTGTTTTTATAATATACGCTTTGATTGCGCCCTTTTATAGCGTGCGGGTGGTTGGCCTTTGATACAACCAAATGTTCAGTTAGCTGTCTACACAGAGCTCGTGTCTTCGTATTTTGTGGATTAGCCATATGTATATAGTATGCATGTATAATATGTAACTAGATATATGTACAAATCTAAACAGTTAAGTGCAAATGGCGACTTGGATGGACTTTTGGGGTAAACATTCTCATCATAGAAATCTTTGCATCACGAAATTAATCATAACAAGAATTAATAAAAAACAAAAAACAAAAAAAAGAATCAATTGATATGCGCAGCCGTCGCAGCAGCAGCAGCCGGAAGTGGATACTGCCGTTAACCGTCATTTCGCAGTTGGCATTTCCGTTTCCCCTTTCAGCTGCGCTTTAGGCCAGTTGCGCTGTGTCTTACAGACAACCATTAGCATTTGATATACATATATTATAAAAACTAATCAAGAACTATATGCTTTTGTTGCAGTTTAATGTAAAGTGGACGTACGTGTTTAAGGTTTTAAGGAAGGTTAAGGTTTCGATCTCTTTTTGTTTTTTATTTTTTTTTTTTAAGCTAACAAAACTTATAGCTTGCTTTTCCACTCATTCGGACGCAATGAAAAGTGTTGCAAAACGGCAAAAAAATACAATAAATTTTGCCAAGGTTTTGATTGCGGTTTTTTTTTTTTTTTCGTTTAATTGTGTGCTGTGCTACATTGCGTATGCGTGTTATTTATTAATTATATTTATAAAAACGATATTCTCTGCCATTTTGCTAAGTTGCATATTTAATATATATTTTTTGTTTTATCTGTTAATTATTTATAAGTAGCTTTTAGCAGTGTTAATAAATTTTGAGTTATTTAGCTTGAGTTATTCCTCTTGAGTTTAGTTTTAGTTTCAACTAGCTTTGCATTTTAAATTTTTATTAATTTTATATTAAAATATCGCTTATTTAGCAAGTGCGCTGATCGCGAATACTTTAGCTTCGCGTTTATTGCCTTGGCATTTATAATTAAACTCATTTTTATGTCAATTATTATTATTATTATTTTTTTTTTTTGTTGTGACTCTGTTACCGTGCCACTTGTGACGTGACAAGCATTTTATTTGAAGCTTTGCATGTAAATATAAGTATTCAAAAAATTGGCTTCTCTCCTGTTGCACTCATCGTCATTCGGCTTTCGCTTCTCTCTTTGTCGGGTTCATAGATTTGGCCACTTGGTTTCATTTCTTATTTTTACTTTTCTCATTTTCTTTTATTTCGTTTCGTTTCGTTTTCCTTCGTTTCGTTTCATTTCAAGCGTTTTCTTTCTTTTGTTATTTTTGCTTACTTTTTTGTCAATATAATTTGTGAGAACTTTTGCTACGTTATTATTATTAAAGTTTATTTGTTTGCTTTTTTTTAATTTTTATTTTTTATGTCTTCTTCAAGTTTTATTAACTGCTTATTGCGTTTTATAAACACAAACTCTTCTGTTTCTTGTCTGCACTTATTAAAACTACTCAACTTAAGCCGATTGCAGCTTGTTGTGTTCTTTCTTGTTATCTATTTTCTGTTTTTTTTTTTTGTATTTGTATGTAATATTTTTGAGTTTCTTGTCTCATTGCTGCAACTTAACGTACTACATGCCGTATAACTAGTAAAAAAATGTGTTTTGTTTTTCCGACTGGCTCACACCGAACATACTAGATAATATGCTATTTTAAGTAATACTAGACAAAAAAAAATATATAGTTTTGTTTGCATACTAGCCTAGAATTGTAAATGTCTATCGATAATAAAAATGAAAAGTAGAAAGAAACAAATTAACATCCGCGCTCTCTTCAACGCTCTTAAGTACATCGTTGCGCTCTCTTCGGCTCTTATTTGAACTTGCCTGAACAACGCACGCGGCTCTCTCGCCATTTTGATTCAGCTGTCCGTGTGTTTGTGTATTGGGAACGTGGAATGTGTCGAATGTGGAACGCACTCGCTGGTTTAGTAGCGCTGCTGATACTCATGATGCCAGCGATTGAAATCAATGTGGAACACAATTATGGAACCAGTTGACAAGCCAGCGAGCAAATATCTGTGAAAGAGCAGAGCAAAAAAAAGCGGACAAAAGAGAAAGAGAAATAGAGAGAAAGAAATAGAACGACAGAACGAAACATTGATTAGCAATGAGTAAGGAATAAAGGCATAACTAAAATGAAATGAGAATTTTCAATTTAAACTTACTTCTGATCGTGAGTGAGCGCCAGCGAGCGTATGCCCGCATTGCAGGCGGGAAAGGCATAGAGCGGTGCCAGATTGAAAGTGCGCCACACCTCGACAATGCCGCGATCACCGGCGGTCATCAGATACTCGCCATCGCGCGAGAGCAGCATGCACTGCAACGAGTGAAAGAAAAAGACAGAGAGAGCGAAAATGTAACGAGTGCCGAGTGTAACGAGTGGCGAGAGTCAAATAGCGAGTGAATGCAATGCCTACCTGCAGATTGTCGTTGTGCGTTTCATGGCGCAGCTTCTTGCCATTAATGGTGTAGGCCGCAACATTGCCCTTGTCATAATTGATGACTATAAAGCCCTCGCGCGACATAGTTATCAGCTCCGGCGAGTTGAAATCAGCGGGCGGATCCAGCGAGCGCAGCAAATCGCCAAAAGTGGTGTGTATCAAAACGGGTCCGTCTAGACGCCGAGAACAATAAAATAAAAGAAAAGGGAAAGAGCGGAAGAGAGCGAAAGAGAGAGGGATATTGCGAGTGTAAAGTTAGAGTTGAGGCCGGCAGCGATCAAAACTTACTCGTTGAACCCGAAACAACAAGCCCCAGCTCAGCGCTTATCACCACCGAGGTGACTGCCTGCTCGTGACCCGTAAGTGTGGCGCGTGGCGTGGGCACATCCCCTTCACCGACAATGCTCTGGGTACGGGCATTCCAATGCCAGAGCAGTACCGTACAATCCGCCGAGCCGGATGCTATATAACAGTCCGAGGTAATGTTGCACTCGCTGCGTGCCATGCAGGTGACAACTCCAAAGTGGCCGAAGACGATTTGCACGATTTTCGCTGAGCACAAAGAGAAGGGGAATCGGAAAAGGTTAGGGTCAAGAGCATTGGCATTGTAGCCAACGGACTAGCCGACTCACCTGTCTCTGTGGCGAACACACGAAAACTGTTATCCCAGAAGCCGCAGGCAATGAGAAAACGACTGTCGACAGTGGTCACAAAGCAATTGGATCGAATCTTAAGCATTTGGCTAAAGTTGTCGCCCAAATGACGACGGCTGACCGCGTTGCTGTTGTTATTGGTGCCATGCACAGCTATTGGTATGGGTGTCATCAATCAGAGTCTAGACAGGCAGTCAATTCAAGTTACTTACCCAACACTGGATCAATGGTCAGCGGCTGATTGGAGCCTGGCGATTGCGGCGACTCGGCATAGCTGGGACTCTGGACGGATGCGGTGTAATTGCAGTTCCAGCGATTCACCGCAAACTGATGACCAGCGGTCACGGTGACCACAGAGGGTAGCGATAGCTGAGGATAGGTGTTTGCCGAGATGTGTATGATGGGCGAGTTCTGATAGAACTTGAGCATCTGGCACAGATCCTCGGGCATGGCACTGAACATCATGGGCGACAGATGCATAGCGGAGCTGCGTGGTGGATGCGGTTCCATTAGCAGCTGGCTGGGTGTTTGCCCAAAGTTTCGTATTTGATTCTCAACAGCTTCGCGCATCACCGGATCGAGCACGCCGTCCAGCTCGACGCTGCCCTCGTAGGTGAGATAGTAGAACACGTTGGTGGCCCGGATCGCTTCCGGTCCGCGCTGCTTGTAGCCGAATATCAGATCGATCCACTGGTGCAGCTGGCAGGAGACAAACTCCGATTCGAGGGCCATGCGATTGATGCGCACAAACTCCTCAGGGGACTTGGCCCACGGGGGCAGCTCAATGTCATCCACCAGGGCGCCGTCTTCGCGATGTCCCATCCTGTAGCCGGATGCATTGTAGAACATCTCAGGCAGGAAATACCATTCCGGTATCAGTTCCTTCACATCAGACGTATCGCGCTGACAGTTCTTCCAGCTGAGCGATACGGAAGAGAACAGCCGATCGGGATAATCAAATTTGCCGCCCTGCAGCGCCAGGAACATGGTCGTAAAGGGTTCCACGCGCACCAGCCAGGTAAGGGTGAATGCGGCCGTTGAGTAGTGGGTGCCATAGTGGAATGGGGGTATTGTATCGCTGTCCCAGCTCTCGTAGCGCTCCTCAAAGTAGGCACGACGCGAAGGATTCAGTGCGCCAATTGGCTTGGACAAATCCCGATAGTTGGAGGGCAGGCTGAGATCCAGATCCTTTGAATCGTAATTGGTCAGCACCCAAGGGAAAATCGGATACTGGTTCAGATCGTTGTACGTGCGTCCGGCAATCGTATTGAGGAACATCAAGTATTCAAAGTTGGAGATCTCACGTCTCTGCCATTTCTGCGTCATGTTCGAGTTGCGCATCAGTTGGCGGGGTGACATCATGGAGGCGCGACGTGTCTGCGGAATGCCGTACTTAATGCCAACGCCAACGCGTGGCAGTGCCTTGATCACCTTCTTGACGGTGTGCTGATCGGGAAAGGCGAACAGGATCGAGGTGCGGCTGGCCAAAAAGATCTCCAGCGCCACGTTCTGCAGCAGATAGCGACGCGAGAAAATGGCGCGCACCTCGGAGAAGTACCATTTGCCATGCAGATGGTCGCAATACTTGAGTACCTCGGCATCGATCTTATGGAATTCCGGATGATCCTCATCCACCTCAAAGAACATTTCAGTGCTCGTAATGGAAACAGTGCCGGGTGCCACCAGACCAGGCGCTATCAGGCGCGCTTTGGTGCTAATATTCACGGGTCCAGTCAGATCCAAATCTAGTTCCCGATCCTCAATTAGCAGCTCCGCATCGTCCAACAGCTCGCTGTTGTGCTGCGACGATGGATGTGCGCGGGATACCGCAATTTGAGTGTGGAATTCGTCGCGTGTCTGCAAGATGGCATCCTCGGGTGCACCGTTCTCCAGCGCCGCCTTAAGCGTGGCCTGTGGATGGGAGGAGCCACGTGGATTCTGTACCATGCGCTTGCGACGCCTAGCATCATCCTCCCAAGCGTCCAGTTTCCAGTATGTGCTCTTCGCCAGCGGGCCAACACTGGCCGTTATGGAACTCGTGATGGCAGCCATGCCGTTGGCATCGCCCCAGGCTCCATGGCGATTGCACATTATGTTTCGCACCTTCTCCAACAGCCGGCTGGCAATGACATTGTCCCGTCGGCGAGCGGCTGTAATCAGATGATCGCACATGCGCTCCTCCTCGCGCCGTTCGAGCAGCGTTTGGGCGCACTGCGACTCAAAGTCGGCATGCTTTAGTACATCGTCGGCCCGCATCCGATTGAGAATGAACTCCGCCTCGTTGGCCACGCGCACAATATGATCCTTCATGGCATGGGAGAGCAGGCGGCCCTCGTTGATCAGCTCGATGAAGGCGAGACCGGCGTGCTTCTGCAGACTGTTCTGCCACTCCTGCGAGCAGAGCAGCATCACCAGCTCGACGACGGAGTGTGAGTTCTTGAACGTGGTCAAGCCCTTGCCCTCCATCAGCAGCTCCTGGCCGTGCGAGCCGACAAGCGTCTTGGAGAGGAACGGCGCAAAGTCAACCATTATCTCGCGCAGCAGTGGACACACGGGACCCAGAGCTATCTCCAGCTTTTGCGTGAGACTCGCCTCGCGCGATGGCGTCGTCAACGGCAGCTGCGCCACCAGCGCCGGTGGCTTCATTGGCAGCTCATCGGGCCGCGTGCGCTGCTGCTGCGTGCTAACAACTGTGCCAGCATTGCCGGCGCCAGCAGCAACACCAGCACCAGCACCACCAACGCCATAGCCATCCGGCACACGCACCACCGATATTTCCGAGTCGGGCTTATCACCACGCTCGCTGCCCACTGCCATGCCCACGCGCGAAATGCCCTGCTGTTGTTGTTGTTGCTGCTGTTGCTGATGTTGTTGCTGTTGTTGCTGCTGATGTTGCTGATGCTGCTGCTCGTGCTTGACGCTGTCGCTGGCATCAACAAGGCCCACGACAATGCCGCCACTGGCCGCCGCCTGAACGGCTGCGTCCTCATTCAAATTGACATCCGTCCAGCTCTCGTCGTTCGAGTTGCTCGGCTTGTGATCATCGGCTAAAATATCGCTGGACGATTCGACTTCGGGTACTTCGTTTTCTGTCGAGTTCATGTTCAGGGACACCACATCCGAATCGACGCTCTAAATGGATCGAGTTTTAAATGGGAATAACACAAAATGTTAGTTCAAAATCAATGGAGGTTTTGGTGTAAAAGCTTTTCATGTGGGGATTTATCGATAGGTGTTGCCAGTGCAATTTATGTACAACAAGTTGTGCTCAGTGGGGTGAAGGGTGTGAGAGAGGTGCGTTGGCATAGCGGGTGCTAAGACGACAAAAAGTGCTGCAGAACCATTTTCTTGGCTTGTATTTGCTATCGATTTTCGATAATGTTAGCAATCGAAACGCTTTTGACCATTGACCAAACGCACGATTGCTAGCTCAGAGATTTCATAGTTAAGGACTACAATCGGTTAACTTAATCATTGACTACCGAGTGGCGCCCCTCTTCTAATCGATATTGATATTATCCTATTATCTTTCATGTCGCTAATCGCTGGCATCTCCCTACTTTAGTTTATCTATTGTCTCGATAGTAGCTGCTATCGAACTTATCGATTGTCTATAACAGTTTTCTTTGGTGTGCCTTGGCATTAGGTCATAGCGATAGTTGTGTGCTACACATAACTTTACTGAATGTGCATGTGTGTGCTTGTGTGTGTGTGTGTATGTTTTGGTATCATTTGCGCATTAATTATGCACATTGAACAATAAATCAAAATTCCTGAGCGCAAGGCACAGCTCGTCCGCTGCTCAAATCCTGTTGACCAGCCACGTCCTCTCAACGTCCTTGTCAACACATGCATTTGTCAACGCCACGCACAAAATGTTATCAGCAGATCTATATGGAAAACCCGTCACCCCTTAACCAAACTCGCCGCTCCACTTCCTCTAAATGCCCCCCTCACCATGATCTCTTTGTGTATTTGGGGCTGTGATTTGCATAAAAGGCAAGCCACAAGCCCAAACACCCAACTCCTATCCCCCGATTGGCTAACACTTAACAAATTTTGCTATTACGTAATTCAGCTCATCCGATAGGCATTAGGTAAACTGGACATAACGGACAGACGGCTTGTGTGGGCCATATCAGTGGTGGGTGGGAGGAATGGCGGAGGAGGGGGTTCAAACGGATGGTCATATGACAGAATTTTGTTAAAACGTTTGACAAATGTCAACTGTCAAATACAAATACAGCAAAACGGCACAAGTGGGTGTTGGCAGAGCTGCGTGTGTGTGTGTGTAAGTGTGTGTGTGTGTGTGTGTGGGTGTGCCAGCTGTTGCGCCAACGCAATATGCTGCATATCCTACGTATCCTTTTGCAGCAACTGAAATCAATCGCCTCTTGTTAGACGCGGCTGGAAACTTGAATAACACTTGCGGGCTACGTTGAATACACACAAGCACAACCATACATACGATGAGAAGAACGTGGTGAGGGAGGCGTGGCGGGGGATTTGCTGTATTAATAATGCAAGCAGTTCATTAAGAGCCCAAAACCGGAAGACGGCACGTCGTGAGCGCCACAAGATAAGAGCTGCTCTGTGCGTGTGTGTGTGTGTGTGTGTGTGTGTGTGTGTGTGTGTGCGTGCGTGTGTGTGTGTGTGTGTGTGTGCGTGCGTGTATGTGCGTATGTGTGCGCTTGAGCATTATTATTCTAGTTTGTAACACTAATTGCATAACATATACATAGATATAAAACATACATAAATCACAAGACACATACACAAACAAATCCAAGAGACACACAACAAATCACGTGGTGCACGCAGCCAAATCAAACTTATGTGTGAGCGTGTGTGTATGTGCGTGAGTGTGTCTGTGTGTGTGTGCGAGTGTATACGCGGATTGGCGCACAGATTGCTTAATGAATTATTGATTGCATTTAATTGCAATTCAATTTGTATTCTCCTTTAAAAATAAAAAACAAAAAAAACGGAATAAATAAAAATAGAAAACTGCAGCTGCCCGACTTGTAGATACCCTGCAATTATGATTCCAATAAAACAAGGCGAAGGGGTTGGCAAGAGAGTAAATTTGGGTTTGGTATGCTGTTCAGCTCTAAGCTATTATATAATATAGAATACCATATAAAAATGACCAGCCAAGAGAACTCAAGAGGAAGCTCATCTCTACAAAAAAAAAATACAATCTAGCAAAGACTGTGACTGACATAGCATAGGGAATACTGAAATATCGTAAGTTTTTGCTTAGAGGTTAAATGCAATGCAGTTAACAGAATTAATTTAAAAATTCTTAATTCGTTACAAAAATATAAGTAATCAAGGATGAATAGAAATTTCTGGAGGTTTCATTTATCAGAGTTTATTTTATTCATTCCGAAAATGGGATACATGAGAGAGGGAGAGGGAAACAGCTTAAGGTGTAAAAATATTATTAATATATTTGTTGCATTATCTAATTAAATGGATCGGCCATGGGCATCGTATTGAGCTGTAGATATGAAAATACTTCCCACTTCACTTAAGGAACTTATTTATAAGTTAAACAAATGCTTACAAATCCTGACATTATGATGATTTTCAAAAGATGACTCGAACACATTGTCAAATTCCAAACTAGGTTAATATGCAAAAGAGTTTCTAGTTCGATAAATATGTAGAGTATTTACTTGAACCGAAAGGATAAGCTGTAAGCTTCTCTCTGCTTGCAGTTATTTAACTAAGCCATTCTCTGGACAAATTGTGAATGCACTAAATGCAGACTAAAAGCAAGTCTAAAGATTTCTAATTAAAGCGCTTAATGTTAGCGCAATAATATCATTTTCCAGCGAAATGTCATTAGCTCTGTGAACTCGAATTGGACGGGGCTTTAATGTATTGCGACAAGAGGTCTGAGGCTGAGCTCGGTTTGCAGTTCAGCGAGGAGGAAAAGTGCCTAGTGTCGTTTCATGTCCAGGACAAGGATTACCTGTGAGCTCAACTGTAAAACAGTTAGATACGTTGCATTCGATTTAATACCTGAGGGCGCACAATTCTGTGTAAATGTCGCATTGTGTTGGTTAATTGATTGCATGATTTACTGATACATTGCGCCATTGATGCAATATTGATGCTCAGCTCAGTTGGACATTTGCAATTATGCAACGTCACATTTGTGCGGCCACAAAAGCAAAGAAATTAAATTACAAATTGACAAACAAACCGAACTATCTAAATACAACAGAGAAACACAAGAGAGACTGGCCAAGAGGGAGTGGGAGCGGGAACGGGAGGGACCGAAAGAGAAGTAAATGAAAATCTGATAGACGCAAAAACGAAATGAAAAATTAAATGAAAAATTCTGAAAAACACGTTTCATCCCAACGAAATGCACAAACACGACAACTGTTTACGAATGCAAACAAAATAAATGATTTCAGATGATTTGTACTTGCTTCGACTGTGGGCAATGGGCTGTGGGCGTGGTCGATGCACTAATTAACACACAGGATATGTCAATAAAGGTTATGCATTTTAAAATTACATAAAATGTTTCATTTATAATAGCCTTGCAGAGAGTCTGTTGGGTAATCAAATAAATACATGAATTTAAGTGAGGCTTAAATTCATTTTTAATTATCTTCAAAATTTACTTTAATATCATACGGTATTTATATGTTTATGTTTATTCAATTTCCGATGAAACCGTTTTCTATTTCTATTTATTACATTTCTGTTGAAACCCTTGAAACGTTTCTCACGTTGCGCTTCTCCATGACTTTAAATGCTTTCGGTCTTTGCCTTAATAAACGTCTCGGTCAGCTTTAAGCTTCGCACTTTATTAAGGCTAGAGCTTCGGTCGTCACTTATTGCTTTGCTTCTCGCTTTGCTAGCAAGTGATTCTTGCTTCACCTTCTTTCTTGTCTTCTTTTTGCTTTGCTTATCGAATAAGAGCGACCATCACTCAAACACTATTCTAACTAACTAACGACTAAAACACTATGCTTCTTGGTTAAGTCTTGTTTTGTATGTTCTGAATTTACTAAAGCTGCGTGCTTTTTTTTTTTTGTCTTAGCTTTTAGCTGAACTTATTGATTCTTCTTCTGCTTGTTTTTTTGTATGCATTTCTCGTTGTGCTTCTCCCTTCTCGCTATTAAACGATTCAGTTCTCACTTAGCTTCTCTCTGCTTTCAATGGGATTGAAATCGGAGTATGATCTCAATAGTCTATACTACCTAGTTTTCTGCAAGGGTATACAAAATTCGGCATGCCGACAGTAGAGTTAAATCAACTTAAATTGTGAACTACATGTATTAACGGATACGAGTATGAGTATTGGGTGCATAATAAACTAACTTCGTAATTGAGATGGTATTTTTTCATGTGATTGGCAGCGGTACAAACGTTGTGGTTGTTGTTGCTGTACGTGTGTGTGTGTGTGTGAGAGAGTGTGTGGGTGAAATTGCTTTAAAGTTGTTGTTGTCAAATTATTGCAAATTATTATTGCATTATTTTGCAATTTTTTGGTATTTGTTTGTATGGAATTTGTTGTTGTTACCTTTGGTAATTTTTTTGGGACCATTGGCTTGGGTGGTGACAATGGTTGTTGTTGAATTTTGATTGTATCTTTAGTTGTTGTTCTTGTAGCTGTTGTTGTTGCGGTAGTTGTTGTTGTTGTTGTTGTTGCGGTTGTTGTCTTAGTGTTGTTGTTATTGTTGTTGTTAATATTAGCCTGTGACAGTTTGTTTTGCTTCGTTTTAGTGTTTGATTTAAAAAACATGCTTCATTGTTGTTGTTCTGCTTGTTCATGTTGTTGTTTTATTTTTCTTTATAAATTAAGCTAACCTACGCATATACACAAACGCTTTCGCACACACACACACACACCAACACACACACACACACACACACGCAAATACTCTGCTTCTTAGTTAAAAGTTAATGCAAGTTTCTACTTATTTGTAGTTTAGAGAAGTGAGGGAAGTTTCATTCATCTAAAGTGACATTCAAACTGTCATGCAAAGTGTTTAAAAACTGAACTCAAGAAGTGCTTCCCACTAGAAACTTTAACCTGGGAGAGAGCGTTTGCCAAGCAAACCTGTCCGCTCCCCAAACCCAGCCCTCATTCATACTAGTAGTATTAAACTTGTTCTTCAGTCACTTGAAATTTACTTCAAATACGCGCACACAGACAGCACTCACACTCCCACCACACACACACACACACACATAGACCCACACACCCAACTAACGCGTCTTGAATGGTACTCACCTTTATGGATGGGGGTCCACTGGAGTGGGAATCATTATCCGCCAGCACCGAGGGATTGTTCTCATCAACGACGATAATCTCGTAATCGCTATCCTGAATCTGACGGCCGCCTGCACAAGAGAAGAGAGCACAATAAATCTGAGATAAATAAACAGATAAATATTATAAAATCTAGATAAATATGGAAGCTTTTAATTAAGCACAAGTTTATACGATATATTGGAGTGTATTTAATAACCTCTACAGCTGCGCCAAGGTAAATCATTTGAGCACAACTGCAGAAGTTGACAAGAAGCACACAAAATAATATTATAATATATATATATATATATATATATTTATGCATATATATATAAATATGTGTATAACTGTTGAATAAGTTATATATAAGTATGTTATCTGGAAAATAGGTATTCGTAGTCGCTAAGCTGTGTGCACACATTTAAAGTATCAAACGAAAAACTCAAACTCAGCGCAAGGCATTCACAACACACACATACACGCACACACACACAGCACGCACAAACACACACTCAAGAGTCTTGGAGCTAGAGAAACATTGATATGCCAGGCAAAAGCAAGTTATTTCTGCAAGTATTTTAAGCTATGCGTAAATTCTTGTTCGAGCTTACAATCAACTTCAGGCCCAGTTCATTTCAATTATGATAGGGTTCCAGGCAATCCTGTTAGAGAACTGAGAGAGCTTTTAAATTACATGAATGATGCAATATTCTATATATCCTATACAGCATTTTCATAAGTTGCGTTCCTTTTGTCAATATGATTTCTAATTAGCATTTACTCTGTCTATGTAGCTCTATGTTTACTCTCGGCACGTAATCTCCTTGGCCTCAATCGATTTTGAGTTATTTGAAAGGCAGTTTAGTTTCCATTGAATGAGCCCGAAGGTAGTGCCTGACTAGAAAATGCACTGAACTTAACGTCAAGTTGAAGTTAATGCCAGCTGCATAACAGCGACTGCCTCATAAAATGCTTTTAGTATGCGCTCTCATCTGATTTGGGTATTCCGATATGCATGATATTTTCGGGGCCTAAAAGTGGCATACAAAAGTGCGTGCATGCTAAAGGCCACGGCTCTATATTTAAGAAACGAATATATTTTCTATACTCGAATGCCAAGATATTAAAAATAATATTTAACTGACATAATTTTAGAGTTGTATTTACGAAAGCCATGACTTTAATGTGGTATTTTTCAAGAAAAAGCAAATGTATGGTATATAAGAACTTATATATCATGTCTCAAGTCTCTAGCTGATCTAGATTTCGAGTTCGTAGGCAAGCACAAAAGCAATACACTCTTTTCAAGCATTACCGATGCGTATACAAATGGAATAAATGGAATTCTAAATGTTGTCAGACAAATTTTGAAAGTAAAATAACGAAAGCTACTTTGACAACATGTCCAAGTGGCTGCTACCTTTGACATAAGCTTGTTATTTTTTTTTCTGCTTTGCTCATTTGGCTTAAAGAAGCAGAGTGAACGGTATACATTTGAAGAACATATCGAAACCGGTGATTAGCTTTGACAGGCACATAAGAGGTAGGTCTGTGGAAATTGATTTCTGTTTCAGACAGCAACTTAGCTTATGTAAGTTGCCTGTCAGCTTGCATTTAACTATTAGATAAATGAAAGTTCGTCTGCAGCCGTTGGGTAAGTCTCTTGATTGGACAACTAAATTTTAGACCAATTTAATGGACTAGCAAAAACTTTTGATTTGAGCTAATTGAACTTCAAATATGTTGAAGTCCTGTCGACAACAAAAATATTCCTCCAGCCAGCTGTTTGGCAGGCTGAAAAGGAGCCAGTTGTTTGACAGTTTTGAGGTGTGAAAATTGTTTGACTTTTTCATTAATTAGACAAATGGCTTTAACTGCATGTAGCTGATGTTGAAGAGCTCAAATTTGCATAACTAAGCACATGCACACATATTACAAGGACACAAACTTGCAGACAGCTGACCAAACTATAGTGAAATAGCAATAGATGAAGGCCAGAGTGAGAGTCGGTGCATAGCTTCATAGTTTGCAACAGCTTTCAGCAGCATTTGGTATTTTTTTTTTTTTATTTTTTATTATATTCGTTTTTGGCATCTAAAGTGCTGGCAACTAATCTCTAGCTGAATGTGTCCGTTTCTCTCCCGCCTGCCCGCCATTTCTCTACCTCGTTTCTCTCTTTTATTCTCTATCCGCTGCAGCTGTTATGACTGTGCATTTGAATTTCTAATTTTCATTGCTGCCACGCCCGCTCAACCCATTGTTCGCTAGTAATTTTGTAATTTGTAAAGTTTTATGGCTGCTAACGCTGGGGCTTAGGCCATTTGTTCGCCCATTGAATTGTAGTTTTGGAGCTATGCATCTCACGGATACATAATTAAATCTAGAGATACAAAAGTATCTTAAAGTGCAGCAGGCGCAGGCGGTGCGCTTGTGCGCCCTCTTTTAGCCAACTCATTAGCCAATTGGCCGGCTATTGTGTGTGGCCTTTATTGTAACAGCGTGCTTTACAGTGTTGATTAACGTCTTAATTGAAATTTATGGCCTACGCTGTTAAGTATGCTATGCTTTTTTTTATTTTGTGTTGTGTGGCTTGTTTCGTGCTGCTGCTGCTTTTTTTGCGCTTAATTTGTTATAATTTCCCAGTGTGGCCGTTTTTCATGCACACACACACATACACACACACACACATAAAGAGCGACCAAGAGCAATAATGGGAGCAGAGGAGAGTGAGAGAGAGGAAAAGCCAGAGGTGTGTGCAGGCCGCAAATTACTTTTGTTTCAACATTGAAAGCGTGTTATCGGCTTTTACAGCTGTACCAACTGCTGCTTTTCCCCGCTCCAGTTCTCACCTCCCACCGACCATTTCTTTTAATCTCACACTCTGTCTTTCTCACTGCCTCTCTCCCTCTTTCATTTAATTTATATTCGTGTTGTTTTTGCTGTTTTTCTGCGACTAATTTACATTTTTGTCGCTGCCATTAATACAGTTTTGTGTGTGTGTGTGTGTCGAGGCAGCCATTTTTTAAATGCACGCGTATCGTTCTTTTTTTAATGGCCTGTCTGCCAAATATTTTATGCAAGCAAAAGAAAAAGTAAAAAATGTTGAATGTGCCTTTAATTCATTTTTATGGAATAGAAAATTAACGAACTAGATTTTACTTTTTTCCCCTGCTGGAATTTCTTTGCGTTTGACTGTATATATAAATATATGTGGGTGTGTGTGTGTGTGTGTGTGTGTGCTTAGTAAATGAAGATAAATGAAATGTGTGCTGACAGCACATAAAAATGACGAGTTAGAGCCGTCGGGCATGCGTCTGCCCCCAATCAGCTGCTGTCCCGCCCAGCTGTCGAAAATTGTACTGTCATTGTAGCTGCATTTGCGTGTATCTGTGTGTGTGTGTGTGTGGTGTGTGTGTGTGTGGTCTGTGTGTGTGTGTGTTTGTGTTTGTATGTGCTAACCATAGATACAAAGATAGAACTTTTTGAAAGCATAAATGGATTACATTGTGCCCCATGACCCGACAGAACAACACACACAAAACTGGTGACACAAACGCACACACATACACACACACACACACACAGAAGCGTTTGTTGCATTCTGTTCTTTGTCGTTGTCAACTGTCAACAAATTAGCAAACGTCGCTTTTCAAATCAAAATTTTAAATCAAATCGACATTTTCGACAAAAAAATGTTTCTGCGCCAACAACAAACAAAAAATGGCAGCTTATTAAATTTGCTATCAAATCGAATAATTGACTTTTGGGGACAATAATTGCATAACCGGCACAGTCAAACTAAAGCATTTTGTATGTATGGAATAAATAAATATTTAAGTAAATGTGCATTGTGCAGCAAATTGTTAAACAATTTATGCAATAAATAAACAGAAAAAAAAAATTTAAATGGAATTATTCCATAACCCAAATAATGCGCATTTAATGCCCCAGAGCTTTAGTTGAGCTATTCACATGACTACACTGTGCAACAAAATTCTATCTAAACTATGCACATTTGTAGGCTAGCAATATGAAAGGGGAAACTAGGATTTAGGCTTACTAAAGGTGACATTGCCTACTAATTATCTGTGCTAAGGACTTAAAATATTTCACCTACGATAATGAAAATTTGGAGGAAAATGTGAATATTTACGCGATTGGCTTGATTGTATTGCCTATGAATATTTATTTTGTTGCACAATGTTTTCAGATTTGCGCACAAAAAATGAACAATACAATTGGCATTGCTGTTGTGCAAAGATAATAGGATTGTTATCATTGAATGTTGCATAATTGAAGAATTGCATTGATTAAATAATTGATATCAATTGAATTTTTGCCCAAAACTATTTTAAGCAGATGGCATTGTATTGATTTTTAATGTGCAATTCCAGTCATTAAAATGGAATTCAATTCGCACAAATCGACGGAGAATAAATGCAAATAAAGTACCTCTTAAACACCTATTTAGAAATTAAAATGCAAACCACGCACAAAATATTATATCAACAAAAACTGAGGCTAATCCAACAAAATGAAATACGCGACAAGAAATCAAACGAGGCGAAGAGTGCGTGTAAGAGACTTAATTTGCTGGCAATAGTTAGCCAATTATTCTCTATATATATACAACTGTTTGTCCTGACTGACTGACTGGCTGACTGGCTGACTGACTGACTGATTGGTGATCAAGGCACAGCTCAAGCCACAGAAGCTGGGAAACTGAAATTTTCACAGTAGTTATCTTAAGTGATGAGACAGGGTTTTGGGTAATTCCACCCGAAAGTGTGGAAAAATCGCGAAAAATGTTTATATACAACTTTTTTGTTTGTCCTTAACTCATTTTCAAAGATTTTTGTTCAAATTCATTTGAGGGGTGTTTCACACTTTTTGAAAAATCCGTCCCTTCTTGGTGGAAATGTTGCTCAATTATTTGGTGACTGACGTTTCGCCCTCAAACTCATTTCCAAAATCAATTTTGACGTGTTCATCATTTCTTGGAAAATCGAAACTCCCTCGTTGGAAAGTGCATTTAAAAAGTTTTTTGATCAATTTTAATTTGCATCAAACTTATTTCCAAAGCTCTACATAAGAATATAATGACATCGTGTTTGGGAAATTTCACTCGCAACGGTGAAAAAATGGCGGAAAACTTTTGTATAGAAGATATTTGTTTACCGTCCGTTCAGTTTCAAAATCATTTTCACAGCTTTTTGAGCACATTGAATATATAGCATACGTACCACGGCCAAGGCCGGGTTATACCTTCTAGTATATGCATATGTGTTTGGGACATATGTGTTCATTAACACAAATACACATACACCCCTATATATATATACACACACACACACACATACATAAGCGTATGACATCTGAAATGAAAATCACTCTTGCGCGTATTGTGGAGCAAGAATTTAGAGTTAGGTGAAAACAACTAGATAGATATATATAGAGAGAGAGAGGGAGCGAGATAGACAGAGAGTGAAAGAGAGAGAGAGAGAGAAGGAAAGGGAGAGTTGGCTAGAAGCTAAGCTAAACATTTAGGACAATAGATACACATTTATGGGCTATATAGCATAGTTATATAGCAGCTAAAGCTAAAGCTAGACATTGAGAGGCAAATGGAATGAAATGAGCGTAAAGCAATGCAACGCAACGGAATGAAACAAGAAACGGGATAATAATATTAGAAATACGAAACGAAAATGGAATGAAACGCAAAGAAAACATAAAGGTACAAAAACAGTGAGCAGCAACAACTACTTGATTGTGGTCTAAGAGAGAGAAAGAGAGAGAGAGCGAGAGATGTATAGAGTGAGATAGAGAGTAAGAGAGAACAAAGATAGAGTTCAAGATTTTATAATAACTAAATATACAAGTATATACAGACAAATACGTATTAAGTGAGAGTAAGAGAGAGATAGATAGATTGGTAGATAGATAGTGTTAAATAGTTAGTTAGAGCGTGACAAAAACTACACACTACAATACTCATAACGAGCGATACCTGTTCCAGAGCCAGATACGTTGGCGTTCCGTCCATTGTAGCGATAATTGTTATTGATGGCATTCGTTTTATATGCACCGCCGCCATCGCTCAATCCCATGCCGCCCATGCCGCCCATGTTCATACCCATGCCCATGCCCATGTTCATGCCCATGCCCATGCCCATGCCCAGGCAGCCGCCGCCGGCGCCAGCGGCAGCAGCAGCAGCAGCAGCCGCAGCAGCTGTTGCTGCACTTCCATTGCGCAAGTTGCGCATGTTGTTGTTGCCGTTGCTGTTGTTGTTGCTATTACTGTTGTTATTGTTGCTGTTGCCGTTGTTGTTGCTGTTGCTGTTGCTGTTGCCATTGCTGCTGCTGCTGTTGCTGCTGGCATGTCCATTAAGCACAACTACAGGATGATGCTCCGCAGCGCCGATTCCATTCTGCTGCTGCTCTCCATTCATTTGCAGGCCCCGCATATAGGCATGTGGATGCGTGTGATAACCACCGCCGGTGGTGCCATTCTCCACCTGACCAGCATAATGGCTGTGCTTGCCATTAAGCAGCTGTTGTTGCTGCTGCTGCTGCTGCTGTTGCTGCTGGTGGCCATTGATCAGCGCATAGTGCGGCTGGTGGGCATGAAAATGTTGCTGCTGCTGCTGTTGTTGCTGCTGTTGCTTGTGCAGCTGCTGGCGATGCAGTGTTGCCGATGCGTTAACCTGTTGCTGGCTCTGCGAGGCCAGCGAGGATAGCGATGAGCTGGACGCCGGCTGTGATGTAGCTGTCGAGCTGGCCGACGAGCTCGTCGAGTGTGTGCCGCCCAGCGGAGGCAATGGTGAAATATTGCCCAGCTGTTGCTGTTGTGCAGCGGCATGTTGCTGCTGATGTTGCTGCTGATGCTGTTGCTGCTGCTGCTGCTGCTGATGTTGATAGTAGGCGGCAGCCATATGATGATGACTATGATTGTGTGGCTGATGTTGATAATAATGTTGCTGCTGCTGTTGTTGCTGCTGCTGCTGCTGCTGCTGCTGTTGCTGCTGCTGTTGCTGTTGCATTGAGGCGGTGGCCACATGATTCTGATGTGACTCGGGCAGAAATTGTGGATAGACGTGATGCGACCATTGCGGGAACAAGGGACGTGCGCTGGCGGCTTCTAATGTTGTTGTCGTTTTTTATTATTATTGTTGGCATCCATTCGATTTGGTTGTCGGGTGGGCGTGGTTGGGATTTCATATTTACACACACAGAGCAGAATGGGTTGCGTTGGATTTAGATGGGAGCGTGGGGGTGTTTTTGCGAGCATTTTTCATTTTATACGTTTAATTTGGTATTCGTTACAAAGTATTTTATTTTTTGGTATTTTGTTGGTATATATTTTGGTATTTTTGGTAGTTTGTTTGTTTTTATTTTATACAATAAATCCGAAAAAGCAGCGTGAAATGAAATCATTAGAAAAAGGAACGATGAAATAAAACACACAAAAACTGAATAGTATCTCCAACAATGGACTCGATGAGTGTTCTTAAAAGCTAATGAATAAGTGGACCGTATTAACAGGGTGGTTAAATGGGAGGGGGGGTGGGTTCGCAGGGGTTTAATGGTGGGTCAGGGCGGTGTTATTGGTGCAAAGTGCGCCTTTTGCTTTGATTAAGTAAGATACAGACACGCACACGCACACAACCACACTTGCACACACTCTGACACACACGCACACACACACACACACGTTGACTGCTTGCTTTGAGATCACACTAACATGTGGTGGTGGTGGTGGCGACGGTGCTGGTGGCGTTGGTGTTTGCCGTTGGTGGTGGTGCTGTTAAGATTACTAGTGGTCAGTGGCAGCTACCATTCTGCTACCATTAACATATGTAGGGACACGCTTAACAGCTGTTAACGCAAAAGGAATGCAAACGCAAAACAAGCTGCAAAGTATACTTGTGTAGAAAAATAATGTAATGGAACGCAGTAATGGAACATAAAGTATTCAAATTCATTTAAGAGAGTCGAAGAGAGAAATATTTATATTTAGTTAGAGAGTGAAGAGAACCAATAAACGAACTGTGTAGCATTTGGTGCAGCAAACGTAAAGCGAATAGAAATGAAACGAAACAAAATGAAACGAAATAGAGACAAAGGCAAGGCAAAGGCAAAGACAAAGACGAGCGACAGACGCAAATTAGTAAAGCAAATGAAACGCATAAGAATTCCGAAACGATATGCAACAGAAAATTAAAAATAATCAATAATATCAAGTACCCGCCCGAGAAATAATGTTGTAAAACGTGGCAAATGCCGTTAGATACGAGGAAATATCATACTGTTTATCGTCCTAGATCTAAAGCTCTAAACTGGTAACACTTACCGCTGCCCGCGCTGCGCTGCATCACTGGCGATTGACGCTGCAGTTGCGGCTCTGCAGGTGGTTCCAAAATATCCCGATATTTGGACACCATCAGCACTGAAATGAAGTAAACGATGGCCAGCGATAGGAATTGCGCTTGTTTCGTTTCCTCCTATAAAAGAAAAAGTGAACATAGAAAGAGATCGTGCGTGAAAAAGAGAATAATATAAATGGTATAAATGGGGATGAAACAAATGGAAATGAAACAACTGGTAATGGTACGACTGGGAATGAAAATTAATTGGAACTGAGCTGTTCACTGGCTGTAATGGAAGGTAGACAACTAAATGGAATAAAACAGTATGGAATGGAACAAGTGAAAACGAAACGAATAATGTGGTTAAGGCACTTACCACATCGCGATAGATGACGGCACGCAAACGATTAACGTCCATGTCCTGCAGCAGCTTCTCAGGATCCTTGACGGGCGATAATTGACCAGTGATTGACTCCACAATGTTCTGTAAGAACGTAAAACAGTGTTGGAAAAGTGTTTAAAGTTGACTAAAATTGTTCTACCTTTGGCGAAGCCTGAGCGCCGCGTATGAGCGCCTGAAGATGCGCCGCGCCGGGCACATCCCGTGCCAAGGCGCCGACATTATAGCGTGTGCGCTCCTTGCACTCGAGGCAATTGCGCACGGCACAGGTGCAGACAAGACGGAGGCACTGGCGCAAGATGCCGCCACTGGACATGTTCTTCTCGGCCTCCAGTTCGCCAAAGTTCAGCGATGTGGCAAAGATGAGCACATCGGCCATATTGACGAGGCGCTGTAAAAAGGATACGGCCACCTCTAGTGGCATGCCCTGTGTGGGCTCCAGCACATCCAGCTCCGACTGAGAGAGAACACGCTCGTTAGCTAAAAGATAGATCAGGTCACAACAGCATGGGCAACTTACATTGGGAGACGTGGCGCTGGCGAGCAGCGGCAAGAGGCCGCCACAGGCAATGATCAGATTATCGGCCAGCTGGGATATCAGATGAACGGTGTTCACCACAAAGATGGCGTTCTCGCTCGAGTTGACAAAGTCGAGGACACTCTTGGTGGAGTGGCTGCGCCACACCTGGATGTCCGTCTCCAGCGAGAAGAGCACATCGCTGAGCAGTCGCTGATGTATGTAGGACCACTTGAATTCCGGTATGCGAAACGGCGGACGTGTCGGTCCCGGACTGAACATGGGCCGTGTGGAGCCGGACTTGGATCGTTGTTGCTTGCCCTCGGCACCGGCCGTTGCTGCCGTTCCGGCAACTGTGGAATGCACATTGAATGTGAGCCGAATGTTTGCCTGAGGCGAAAAGTGGCTCCTAAGTACTTACCATAATGATTGCCTTCCTGCTGTGTGCCGCCTTCTGCTATAGCAGCTGACGTTCCGGTCGCCGTCTGTGGCTGCTGTGCGGCGTAGTCGTCGTCGTCGGCATCGATGTCCGCGTCTGGGCTGGTTGTCTCTTGTGCATCATCATCCACATCGGGCAGCTCGTCGAGACTCTTTAGAGCATCCGCCTCGTTCTTTGGCGTTGTCTGCGTGGTGGAGTCCACCTCGGTGGGCTTCATGCGCACCGTAACTGTTGCGTCCATGGACGTAGCTTGCGACTCCATGCGTGCCGGTTGCTCTTCGGGCGTGGGCGAAGTCTGTGTGGTCTGCTCGGCTGCCACAGCTTTCACGGTTTCGTCCACTAGAGTATCCAGTACGGCGTTCACAATGCCAGACACCTGTTCCTTGCTTGGCTCTGACTCTGCTTGTTCCTCGGCCAAATCGAGTGCTGCTTCCACCATCTCGTGTACGATTTCCTCGGCGGCGGCGGCAACGCTCGCCTGCTCCTGGTCTTGCTGCGTCTCTGTCTCTGCGTCTGTTGCTGTCTCTGTCTCTGTCTCTGCAGCTGCCTGCTTTGTGGCTTCCTTTTGCACCTCGTTGTTATTGGTTTCAGTTTCGATTTCGTTTGCGGCTTCGGTTTTGGTCGCGGTTTTGGCTTCAGCCTCGGCTGCATCAATTACTTTGTCGATGAGCTGCTCGACAATGTCACGCACCGCTGTGGCCACCACATCCTCCGTTGTCTCCTCCAGCTCGGGCTCTGTGCTCGCAGGACTTGCGTTCGTTATAGACATCGTTAGCTCTTCGCTGCTCGCGTTGCTAGTGCTCAGCGTTGAGCTCAGCTCCTGGTCGCCACTGGCTGCTCCTGCTGCTGCCCCTGCTGCTGCCCCTGCTGCTGCTGCTGGCTCCTGGCTGCTGCTGGCCTCCAGTTTCTCGTTGTTATTCAGCTTGTTGGCCGCATCTTCAGTCTTTTGATTGGTTGCTGCTGTATTTGACTCCTGCTCCTGTTCCTGAACCAGCTCAGGCGCTTCTTTTTTCTCCTCCGCCATTATTGTATCTGTTGTTGTGGTCGTAGTTGTTGTCTCCTCGCTGGCACTGCTGTGGATCTCGTTGGCATTCACCTCGGCTTCCAGCTGTTGCGTCTGCTCCTTGTTCTGCTGTTCCGTCTTAGTGGCATTGTTGTTATTGTTGTTGTTGTGGTTGAGTAGATTCTTGCTGTTAAGCAGACTGACATTGTCCTGCGCGGGCGTCTTCTTCTCGCTCTTGAGCACGCCCTGCACCACCTCGTTGACAGCCAGCTCAATCTCCTCATCCTTCAGCACCGAGGAGGACTCTTGCAGTACGTCATCGACGGTCAGCTTGCAGTCGTTCAACGCGGCTTCGGACACTTGCAGCACATGTGCTACATGCTGCTCAACATCGATCGCATCCTTGGCCGTCGCAAGCTCCAGCTCCTCCAAGTCTTCGCCTATTTGGAGCGTCTCCTTGAGCGCCGCCTGGCCACCAGCTGTGGCCTGTAGTTCCGCCTGCTCCAATTGCTTCGGTTGCTCCAGCTGCTCCGTCTTCTCCGCCGGACTGGGACTGACGCTGCCGTTGCAGGTGGGCGCCGGAGCGCTCTGCAGCGCCTCATCCGTTTTAATTTGCTCGTTGTACACATCCGAAATGTTGGCAATCACCGACTTGTTAGGCGGCTCCTCCCGCTGCTCTTGCTCCGCTTCGGTTGGCTCGCCATTGGCAGCACAGACGCAAGGCTCGGTAGTAGATGCGGCCGCATCGCCGGTCAACTGCAGCTCCTGCGCATCGACATCAATGGTCTCCAACTCCAGTTCCTCTGCCTCCTCCTCCACGGGTGGCACATCTTCCAGCGATGCTATAGAGACGGCGCTCTTTATGTCCGGCAGCTGCTGCTGCTGCGGCTGCTGCTGCTGCGCGCTGGCAACCGGACCGTTCTGCTGCTGCTGCAGCTCCTCCCGCTCCCAGCCGCTGATGGTGCTAATGGGGCGAGCCTGACGCAGAGCGGGATCGGTGATGTTATCGGTGCGCTGTCGCTCATAGTGCTCATACATTTGGGCGAACTGCAGCTTGAATTCTTCGTAGGAGACCTTCGAGTGGACAATGGCCAGGGTGTCCACCCAGACGCGCCAGCCGCCATACTCATGCTTGATGGCATGATGCAGCAGCATGCGGAACAGTGAATAGACCATATCGCTGATCTTCTGCTCCTCGGTGTTCTTTGGATGAATATAGGCCATGGCAATGAGCCACTCCTGCCAGACGGACATCTGGAGGACGGTGCGACGATTCTCCCGATTGCTATTGCACAGCAGGGTCATGTCCTGCAGAAAGAGCTTCTTCACCTCGATCAGCGACTCCGTTTGCTTTGACTGGCGTATTAGTGTGGCGACCACTTTCAGTATCACTGCGTCGCGATTGGGGTTTGGGGCAGGATTTCGGGATTTGGTGTTAGCTAAGTCTAAAGATAAATATAGCGGGGGCAAGCGAAATACTCACTCGGATTCTCCAGACGGTAATGACTCTCCGGCTCCGGATGGCGTGTGTATAGTATCTGCTGTGAGATATGCTCCGTCATAATCTCGTAGAGCACATTGTATGTGGGCAGCGACAATGACTCCTCGTACAATAGCAGACGCTCCGCTAATAACGTGTACAAATTGTGCGGCGACATGACATCGTACTTACGCCTGCAGCGGTTGTCGGAGTTAGGGGAACAGTTGGAAAAAGGAAAAAAAAAGGTTAAGAGAAACCAGACACATGCAAAAATTTATGAGCATGTGCATTACACGGCAGTTTGTCAAATGGAGGGCGGACTAGGCCCATGCCTAACCGGGCTGAAATCCATTATTTAAGCCCCCCCCTCCGCCTTGCTCCCGTTAACCACAATTACTCGGCGGAGAGACATGAAATCCAACCCAGTATTTGTTGAACTTACTTGTGTGTGCTGCGCGAAAGGAAAAAGCCGAGCAGCTTGAGCGCCTGGAGGCGTATCAATTGACTTTCGGCCGCCAGCAGCTTGAAGATGCTGCGCACGCCGTGCTTCACATCGAAGGCAGGTACCATTGAGCTCGGATGCTCCGACATCAACGAGATGAGCATCTGCAGCACATCGTGCAGATTCTCGTCCTGTGCAAATGACAAAAGGAGTTTCAAATAAATATAATTTAATTAGCAGCCACTGTGCGTTGCTAAGAGTTTCTCTATATAATCTATAATCCTTTCACATGCGGGATTTACTAGACTTTAAAGCTGGATTGGGTTCTGAAGTCCGAAGCCCTTCGCTAGAGCTACACTTAATAATAGGATGTAGAAAATAAGTGTCTTTTGTAAGCTTAAGTCTCAGTTGCTTTGTTTATTGACTAAGCTTAAGAGCTTCCATGTTTACCACCTCCCATTTTGACACACTCACCTCATGCATGGTGGTCAGATAGTTGAGTATGCTTTGCAGTTCATCCTCCTTGACGCCATTGCCTATCATGATTAGCTGCTTGAGGAACAGCAGGATATAGGCGCGTATGGCCAGAATATCCTTCTGAGCCGGTCGCGGACCATCTGGAACAATCGAATGGAACGCACCATCAGCAACACAACCCCCCGATTGCCCAGTTGTACCAATGATACTTACCCAAACCCTTCGGTATGATGCCGCTCTTGGCGCGCGGATTGACGACCCAATAGTAATACTTGAGGGTGTGTACTGTCTGCAAGACGGTGCTCACACGTCGGACATTGCTATAGATTTGTGTATCGCTGAGAAACTCGGTGGCCAGATAGGAATAGAGCCGTGCCTGGACATTGGCTGGCGTATAGATCCACAGGGCCGGATTGAAGAGCACGTGATCGAGCAGCTGCCACGTGAGAAACGAGAAACAGAACAACTGCGGGGAATTAGTCAAGTAACTTATGCTGTCCTTAGTTATCAGAGACTCAACGAAATTGCAAGGATTGAAGATGTTGTGTGTGTGTGTGTGTGTGTGTGTGTGTGTGTGAGAGAGTATTTGATAGTCGGTTAGTTGAATGGTTAAATAGTTGGGTTAGTTTTAGAGAAAGAGAGAGAGAGAGATAGATAGATAGATAGAGTAGCGCAAGAACAAAAGACATTTTGTTGTTTTTGTTGTTTGTATACATACGTTTACATGATTTTCATGTTGATTGTTGTTGTAGTCGATTGATTTGGATAGGGTTATTTATACATATATATGTATATATACATATATATATTTGGAGGATTGGTAGTAGTAGTAGTAGTAGTAGGGTTCGTTATATTGAACAACGGTAACACATGCAGCAAACAGCAATCAATTTATTTTTTATCAACGTTTGTCATAAAACATAAAACGAGAAATTAACAAACAAAGTAATCAACAGATTATATTTTCTTTTTTTAAAGAGCATTCCAAAACGAGAACTAGGCTAAGCTTAATTAATTCTGCTAATTACGCTAGAAATTATAATAATTGATCTTATGCATACATAACTATATTATTAGAATTAGATATGGTATATAGATTAGACAGCAATAAATAAAATGCGATGACAAACATTCAAATAGTTCTAGGAGTTAGACATAAAGTTAAGATTAAAAAATAGGTCAATGTTTATTTAAGAACAAATTCAGGGCTTATACACATGTCTTAAGCTTCAAACTGGAAGCTAGCTCCAAAGTATGAGCAAAGCTGAGCAGATGAAAAACCCAGACTCTGAACAAGTTTCAAGCCCTCGAGCTGAGCCCCTGAGATCTTTACTCAAGCTCAGTAATAGGTCTTAACTAAGCTCTGACTATGTTTTACTTGGAAACCAGTGAAAGAGCTTAGTCCCAAAGACATAGAATAAACGAGAAACATGTTCAGAGGCCGATTTCGTAGTTAACAAAAAAAAAAATCTCATATAAGAAGCATATATTAAAGGTATATCCATGTTAAGAACCAGATACGAGAATAAGCCTTAATCCAGCTGCAGAAAAGATGCGGGTAAAAAGTTCGGTTAGACTTAAGACGGAAAATACAAACGAAAACCGGAACAGACTTAGGGACAGGATACGGAAACTTGGTTTAGCTCAGTTGATTTGTTGAACCAAAAGGAATTAAGTTAAAGCCCGAATGGAGTAGGCTAAGCCTTTATCAAGCATAGCCAAGTCACAGGCAATGACGAAAGCCCAGGGGTTCTTAGATATTATAATATGCGTAGAAAGAGGGTATATGGGAAACGGGAAACAAGACTATATACAAGCCCCAACCCTAGCCTAGGCTTTTCCAAATAGTTACCAGAATAGCAGAGAATATCTTGGTATGCTCAAATTTGTATGTACTGGAGGCTTGGCAAATTCCAAGAATCCATATCTGACACAATTTTAAGGCAAGTCTGATTACCCACGAAATATATCGATAGCAATATATATCGATGTATTTCAATAAAGGTGCCTGCTACAGGCTGCGATTCAATTGCCCAAGAGTATCGCGCAGTCGATTCCACCCGACTGCAATGTTTTAGGCTAGTTGAATTATAAAGATCATGATATTTTTCTTGTTAATCGCTTTAAAATTCGTATTCGTTCCGATTGGAGTAAAATTTCATTTGCGGGCACTTTTTGCACAGTTATCTGTGCAATATTTGTGCACAAATTTTAATTGTTGAATTGTCAAAAAAAGGAAATATATATGTGCATATGTGTATGCGGACGATATGTTCACACATGGCTTGGCGTATGCGGGTCACCACTTCAATTCAATCCGCACCCATCCACATACTAGAGGGCAAACTTTTTGGCCTGGCTCTGCTTTTGCTATTGTTGCCGCTGTTGCTGCCGCTGCCGTTGCCATTGGTCGCAGTAAACATAACAATACAACACTCGATGTGGCACTGGCAGTGCCACGCCCAGCTGCCCACGAAAGTTTCCCAATTAAAAACTGTGCACGAGTGTAAAATAATAAGGGAACATGGCAACGTCAACCGAAAACCGAAAACTGAAAACTGAATATCCCAAAACAACAACAGATTCAGAAATTCAGCAGCACGAAAAAATATGCGAAAAGTGGGCGCTGAAAATAATGAAAAAAAAAAGTTTAGTTTCGCATGGCAATTTATACACATTTTTTGCCCAGCCCTCTCGAGTGGGCAACGCGTTACACAAATAAGTTCAAGTTGGGTTAAGGTGTGAAGTCGACCTCCAATTAAGCAAATTATTTAAATTCACAATGAAGCAGCTTCAGCTGGGAGCTGAGTGGAACGATCAATTTTGAAACGGAAGTTTGGGTTTTCAAAATAGCTAAAACAATGTAGAATGGAACAGCATGTGAAAGACAACTGTACACTAAATATAGACAAATATACAGGTTTAGAGCTAGTAATGCGATCCATGAAGAAATTAAGTTTAATGGACTTAGTATGAGTTTCTTAAGATTATGTGGCACGATGTGGAATGAAAACAAAATGAATTAACTACACAAATGTGTAAATGAATGAGCTGAGCGCATGAATATAAAACAATGAAATGGAACAGTCTGAATGAAACAGCATATATGAAGCAATTGAATACAAAATACAGCAGCATTAAATAATTTACTCTGAATTAATATTGTCTAATGAGCCAACTAAATGATGAACATTTATACAATGAATTTGAACAATTGCAACGAATGAAACAGCATATTTAAAGCAACTATATGAATTCAAATACACAAATGAATGAACAATTATGCTTGATGGGCTACCGACAATAGATACACATGTACTATATACACATATCAATAAAGTGGAACAATTTGAAATGAGACAGTACATGAGGCAACTGTACTAGTTATTGAATACAATACATTTTTGAAAAAAGACACTGAGTAACGTTAACGAAACAAACACACACACTTATACACACATAGAAACGGAACGAAACGGAATTGAACGGAACGGAACGATAAGGAACGTTTATATAGACTGTACAATACGATAGTTGAGTAAGAGAAATTTGAGAATTGAGCTTCACCTGGTAGAACTGTTGTAGATATTTGATATTGGTATTAAGTACAGTTGTTGTTGTTGTTGTTGTTGTTGTTGTTTTATGTATTGATTGAATAGAAGCGTTTTAAGATGTACAATTTTTGATTGATTGAGAAGGCGCGTTAAAAGAATATGAAGCATAATTAAAATGAGCAAATAATTTTGATGAGGGAATGAGCGGGCGCGGTTGGTAAACATGAGTTGCGAGTCGCGAATCGTGTGTGGGATTGATTCAAAATAAAAACAAAAAAACCACAGAACAGGGAGCATATAACAAATAAGATCAAGAGTGGGAAAGAAGAAGAAAGAGAGAGAGAGAGAGAGAGGGAGAAATAATGTGAGAGAGCAGACAAATTAGAAGAATTTAGTTTCAGTTGTAAATACATTTATTTTAAAAGCAAGTTCATTATTTGGCTCTTCATTAAAAGTTTTTGGATTTTCTTTACGCTCTATAATTGACCGAATCAGCTGGGTATAACGTAAGCAATATAAATTTCGATTAATCTTGACTTGGATGGCAAATGGCAAACAAAACTCATTTGGGTAAACAAGTGCAAAGCATTAACACAAACCAACTCAGTGCAAAAGCAGGGTAAATAATAAGAACAGGTTTTTCATTTGCTGGCCAATTAAGATTGGTAGCTCTTAAGCGTACAGTGCCACACAAAAAACATGCAACAGTCAATAAGAAAAAATACAAAAATAAAAATATACAAAAATACGCTTCGATTAAGCCGAAGACAACAAAAACCCGCGAAGGAGTGCATAAAATATGGAAATTATTTGTATTGTAAAATTGAACTGGGAAAAATAATTTGACGGCATGAGGGTTACGCCTTTTTATACCCTGAACCCATTGAAAATGAGTAAAAGGGTATTTAATAATTTTTATTACTGCAAAAGCAAACGAGCTGGTGTTGGTAGAAAAGGGTTCAGGGTATCCCCTAGACAGGAACTCCCCACTAGAGCCTATTAGTTGTTCGGAATAGGATTAGTGGACTACTTGTTGATATATGGCTAGTCTTTAACCATGACAACAAATCGCGTTGAAACGGAATTTCATTTCATTTTTATTGTAAGCCGAACCTTGAACCAAGCAATCGAAATGCAACTCGGGCCGAGTCGCAAATGGAAACATGTTTTGAGTTAGAGCCAGCCGGCCAGAGCCAGCTAATAAATGCCAATTCGATGAAGAAAACAGATAGGGGAATTCTATCTTATTTATAATTTATTACCTTTGTAGAGGGTCTTATAACTCTGTCATAAAATGTGTAATGCATAGAACGTGACATATCGGAATCTAGAAAATATACATATGCTTGATCAGCATCAACAGCCTTGCTGATATGGTCATGTCCACCTGTCAGTCTGTCGGTTTCTATGTGAATTAGTCTCTCAGTTTTGAAGCAATCGTTTTGAAAGTTTGCATATGTCAGAACAGGCCGGATCGAAGAAGTATATTATGTAGTTGACATAAGAACGATCGGTCGAAGAATGGGTTCTTAAATGGCAAAATATTCTGTTTTCTTCGATATTTTCATCAAACTGAACATTTACGAGCTTCACTGTGCTCACATAAGTATCTGCAACACTGCAAGACAAATATCTACAAGGGTATTAAATCTTCTGCGTTAGGGTGTAAAATATTTCGATTAATTCTATTCGCATCTAGATTAAATCCCCGGTGCATGAACAACGAGCTATGCAAATAAAATGTTACACGGACTCAAGCGAAAGGGAACACATTCGAGTAGTTTTTGAGGCTGTTGCTAGCGATTTTGCGGGTTTATCGTGTGTGTTGGGCAAATAAAGAAGAAAGCGTGAATAAAAAGGATAAAGAATAAACAAAGTTATTGTTTGGTATATAAGTAAGTAAATATATGCGCACACATACACATGTATGTGTCCACATAAAGTATATATCTAAGGATTAGTCTAGGATGTGGGAAGGCGGCTCTAGGCTTTAGAGAATTTAGCCAGCAAAGGAGTTACGGGTAACGAGTAACGGGTAGTGGGTAACGGGTAACGGGTAACGAATAACGAGTAGCGAATACAAGAGCTTAATTCAAGAAAATTGTGTGTATTTGATTTGCTACGTTTTGTGTTTACTTTTTTGAAAGGATTACGCAGGCCCGTGCTCAACTGTGCGCCGTTCGGCAGGAGAACCAGAAAGAGCAGGAGTTGCAGGCGCCAACATCAACACCAAGAACACAAGAACAACACAAGGGCAAACACAGTGCGATAGGCAGACGAAATACATACAGAAACAGAGAAAAAAAACAGAGAGAAAGAGAGATAGGGAGTGAGTAGAGAAAAAGAGTGAGAGAGAGGGAGCAGATGAGTGGCGAGTGGGTTTCGCATATCATTTGAAATTTGTTTGTCAAGGTGTTAAACATGCCACAAAAATGATGAAAAACGGCGAGCGTGAAACGTGTGGAAATACATTTATATTTAATTTTTTTTTTTTTTTTACTTTTATCTTTTTTTAAATACATTTTTGTGCCATGTTGACACAACGCGACGCATGGGCGTGTTCAGGTGGACGGCAGGAGTGAAACAATTTAAATAAAATGCAAAATTTTAAGGTTGGCGTTGCTTGGAAACAGGAACTTTTTTAATAGTTGTGGGTCTGATCAGAACTAAAAGTAATAGAAATGATAAAAAAAAAAAAAAACTTACGTCGCGGGCGGCATTTGTCATGCATTCGTTTGGTTTGGGAGAATGTACATTGCGATGCGAACTTAGATCGAACTTAGGAACAGACATATACAATAATATATTTATATATAAATATTAACTAAACATAGGCAATATACGTATATCATAGAGGGACATATTGCTAGGCGTCAATAATACTGATTAATTGTAATTATAATTTTGAAGCATGCTTGCCAAGACACTGCGCCTCTCGAAATGTCAGTCGCATGCTATCGATAAATCGTTTCGGGGCTTATCGACGTTAAAGCGCGAGTTTCGGTTTCTTAACATTAACATTAACATTAACATAGAGCGGAGCAAATATTAGATCTAGTTATTATGCTTTGTACAGATGCTGGAGTTGGTTTTGGGCCTTGCGCCCACTCACCTGCTTCAGCAGCAAGTCACTGTTGGCCGACAGGCAGGTGACCAGATATTTGGTCAAATTGAGAAACGAGCCGAGCACCTCCAAAGTTAGATGTTCGCGCGACGAACGCTGCAGCATGAAGGATATCACCAGAAAGCCCCGATTCTGTATCATGTGCTGTTGCACCGTCTGTGATGTCTCCACCAGTTCGCAAATGAAGCCCAACAGCTTCGAGCTGTAAATGCACAAGAAACGGATGAGAATGGAACAGAAATGAACAAAGAATAACAATTAGCAACAAGAACACAGACCGAAATATAACTTAAGCGCTTGTATGAAATATACAATTCCAACACAAATGATAATATTGCAAATAGAAATATAACTAAACAAGAATAGAATGCAGGAAAAAATAATCAAGTGAGATTTGTGAGCCACTTACCAGAGCGTCGGATCGCGCTTGATATCGCTTATGCCCTCGTGCGCCATGTCCAGCTGGGAGAAGAGCGGAAACAGCACCTGAATGCCGCCGATCGAATTGAGTGTGCAGTGTATGGAATGCGTGACCACAGCCTTGACATCCTGTGAAAGTGATGAAAAATAATATATAGTTATAAAGAAATCATCCTCTAAGCTTTAGGCTATGCTTCGTTTCTGTATGATTAGGCTGAATGGAAATCGAATATAAATTGTCATTCCATAATAATGCTGCCAACGTGACTTAAATTTTAAGTGTTGTCTAACGTTAAAAGTTGCCTTTTGAATGGGCAACTGCCATAGATTATCTACAGAAAATAGTTTAGTTTTGTAGGCCTAGAGACACATCCCTCAACGATGGCTTGAACAAAGATTGGTTTGTCTATTGATTAACCATTTCTCAAATGTCAATTTACCTAAGGTTCGGAGCATAAATTTGTGTTTCCCTAACTATTTATCGATTAAATTGGTTTTTCTTTTACACATCGCATGACTTGGACACCACTCTGTGTGTGTCCTTTGAGTGTTTTGTTGCCCGCATGTTGTTTCTGTGCTTCTGTAGGCATGTCCTGGGCTCACTTCGCAGACATTTTCAGCGCGTCATTGTTGTTGTGCTGCTCTTTTATGATTTGTGTTGTTTGCACAAGAAATTACTACAAAATTTATTGAATAATTTTGTTGCCAGCTACAAAGCCTGGCGGACAAAAGGCGGGCAGGCAGCTGTTAAGCATGATAAGACTGCGGAACGGAATGGAATGGAACAGTCGAGCCAGCAGCAGAAGGAGGCGACCAAAGATTGTACCTAATAAGAAATGCCAAAGCATGCGCTTGAGTCGTAAAATGCTGCCTGAAATATATGTGGTGTCCTTTATGTATGTGTGTGTGTGTGTGTGTTGTATTGGTCTTTGGCCTTGGTTTGAGCCGTGTGTCTCAGGCTTTCGGAATGAACTGCACAGAAGTGAAGTGAACTAGCTACAGCTACATACATTTACGTATACGATATAGGTTTGGGGACTTACACGTATATTTCTGGGTCCAGTAGGAACAGGGGGGGGCAATGTAGGATGTGTCTGTGTGTTTGGGGCATGTTTACTTACCTGCAGCATCAGCGCGTGCGGCGTGTGTACAAAATATGAAACATTTCCTTTGGGGGAAGACTGCAAACAAAGTTGACCATCGGTTGCCACTGGATTGTACATGAAGACAATGGCATTCGATAGTTTGCCATCATACAGCACCTGTGGCAAAAGAGAGACAGAGCGAGAGCAAAAGAGGAGGAGAGAGAAAAAGAATTGTTGGCATTAGTTAGGCATGGCTTTCAACAAGTCATTGTCAGAGCTCTGCGGCTCTGTTGCTTGGTTGCTCTGAACCCGGCGAATTGTTTCCGGTCATGCTGACAATTTACTTTTGCTTTTGGCGTTTGCCTTTGGCCTTTTGCTTTAAGCGTTGAGCGTAGTACAAAAACTTCTATATACATATACATGAAGTACTTGCAATGCTACGGCTTACAAACACAAACATATATATATATATATATATATATATATATATACATATATTTATATATATATAAATGTAGGTATAGGTATATAAACATATATATAGCTGTTAATTTACAGCAAACGGCAGACACAATATACACACACATTAAATTGCTGTTGATTTCGCCCGAGTTGTTATATTTGTTTTACTTTTGCTTTTATTTCATATTCATTTTTTATATATATTTTTATATGTTCATATATGTTTTATTTGGTGCATTTTTTTTTGGCTGGCGCCGTCATACAAGGCGTATGCGTAATATACTTGCAGCAGCTGCTGTAGCTTTTTGCAGCGTGTGTGTGTGCGTGTAAGTTAACCTTTAAGCAAATAGGTACATGTGTGTGTACGTGTGCATGTGTGTGTGTGTTTCTGTGTGTGTGTGTTAGCTGTGCGTGTATAATCGCTGGCTGCATAATTTGCTGCTAAAAATACTTCTTTGCGTTATTTAACAAACAAAAGGAATATATATGACAGAGAAAATGAAAAACGCACACATAAAAAGCAGAGAAAATAATATGAAAAACTAAAGCAATGGGTATGTTATTAAATATTGAATAGAACGGCGCAATTGAAAATGTATTTGTTTTTAACTGTAGCCAAAACGAGCTCTTTAAATCATGGTAGGACTTCAATCGTGAACTTTATTGAAGAGCTTTAATTAAGAACTAACAGAAAAGCAGCCAAGTGGCACAAAGATGTAATAGAAAACATTGCCGTGAGATTTTGGGCGCAAATTCAACTTTAGCTAAATGAAGGTGATTGAAGATAGAGCTATTTTTAGGCTAGCTCCCCAAGTTTTCAGGTCGATATGGTCTATATACTAGCAAAAACTGGTTCAGCACAAAAACTTAAGCAACAAATAAATAAACAAATACTTAAAAACGGACGGAGATGGATAGATCGGGCCGAACTTGCTCGATCAGAGCCCGTCTAAGACTATGATAGATTTGTTTAAGACTAAGGACCACAGATCACACAAATTATGGAGCTAATTATTTTGCTAACAAATGTCTCTTGCCCGGCGAATAAACATCTTTAAAATGCAACTGAGACGGAATAACTTAGGAGTACTTTCAATCCAGATGCCAGCGATGTACATATATATATATATATATATATATATATATATATATATATATATGCTTCAAATCTGTGCTTAAAATCCTTTTACGCCAACCTCTCGAATTTTGCAACTATTAACCCATTTTGGTAGCACAACTTGACCCATTTCGCAAGCTTGTTATTTGTGTTAGGTATACAAGAGCTTGGCAAGAACAACAGCTACATAAAATAACTTTCAAAACTAATGCACTCTCCACACACACACACACACACACACAACCATACACAACCTCACACAAACATACACAAACTCTCACATATATCAAAATAAATAATCATAATCATAATAATAATAATAATACAAAGTGCGAGTGCAGGAGAGTCAACAAAATGGAATCTGGCATAGAAATGTTGAAATGCAGTACCCCGTGTCCCCCGTACACCAACCCCCCTAGGCTAGAGTTAACATATAGTTCGTAGAGCCTGGTATATGGAGCATGTTGCATAGATTTCTAACAATCAAAGCGAATGGCTAGGGATAGGTGTGGTGTTGGCGGGTGTAGCCTAGCTAGCAATCATAATAGTGGAACAGAAACAAACCCAACAACAAGAAATACGACTACAAGATGCTTAAAAGAGGCGAGTTCCACATTTGCAGTCGCCGTTGTCGTCGCCGTCGCCGTTTGCTTTGTCTCTGCCTGGGTTTAGGTGCGCTGCGAAGTATGCAACATTTATTTGTAAGCCTCGCGTCGAGCATTGTTGTTGCCAACGCAACTCCCAAGCCTCACCAAGCGGCCGACCCGGCCAGCCCTTAAAGGCGGCGCACTTTAAAATTCTACACAAAATTACAAAATTTTCATAATTACGAGCGTTCTTGAGCAGGGGTAAGTTTGGGGTAGCTGCTTGAGGGATTGGTAGGGGATTTGCTTGCCATAGTTGAGAATTCAATAGAGCAGCGCAAGCTGCGCTTCAATGAATGGGAACATTTTGATTGGCTTTGAAGTTTAGTTTTTGCCCAAGAGCTGTCAAGTGGGCTGCGGCGGGGGGCAGCTGCTGCGGGCGATGGGGGCTCTGGTTGGCATTCAAAACGATTCGATGCGAGTTGATTCGATTTGCTGCGATTCGTTTGCGGATTTGGCAACGTTCAACGTTCGCAACGTTGCTAACATTTTAATTGGCGTCCCGCCCAAGCAGAGGCGTGGTCTGGCCAGGGGTTGTCGGATTAAGGGTGGGGGGTGCCTTGAAATCGATTCGACAAGCATTTTGCTAAGCTGCCTGAAGTGTGGGGCAATTGTATAATAAACAACCATATACATTATTATTATAATTTTAAGCATTTTAAAAACCTAACACATAAAATAGATAAGAGCAGAGCGAAAGTATTAAAATAAATATTATATTATAAAAGTAACTAAAATCTTAATTGGGAATTAAGAAATCACAAAATTAAATGTTGATGCATTAAAAAAGGTTCAAAATTAAATATATCAAATGAAAAGTAAAAAATAAGAAATAAACTAAATGATTAAAAAAAAAATTTAATCAACTGTGCCCCATAATATTTATTGAAAATGAATTACAAATGCATTGCAAACCAATTAAAATTATAAATAAAAACAAATCTAAAATGCGACTCAGAAATTTAACGAAATGAATATAAGCTGTGCGGATAAATAATGGTTATGAACAAAACATATACGCAGTAGCATAAATATATAAAATTAATACAAAATAAAACTTAAAAAAAAACTGATCAGAAATTTAACGAAATAAAGCCAAGCCGTGCCCATATAAATTATTGAAAACTGAGTATATTAGCATGAAACCCGAATTTAATTTTCGACTATAAAAATTAAGTTAAATTGTGCTCTAACAAGATTTTTTAAAAAATGAAATATGTTACCATGAAATCCAAAAAAAAAAATCAGTTTATTAAATTAAACCTGATTAACAAGGATAATATATATGTGAATTGCTTACAGCTTTTAGCTGGTTGATTTCCTCAGTGTCGCCGGCAATGGCGGGGGCGGGCACGCCCATGGTGCTCAGGCTGGTCACACTGGACATGCGACGCAGTTGATCTGCCCCGCCCAAATCGATCGAAAGGATTGAAATAAAAATGCAAAGAAAGAAACAATAAACGATAAACATAAGAATCGAAAGCAAAGCGCAGCCACACACAAGAACAAATCATAAATACCAAAAGAAGCATTTCCAGTGGGCAAATGGCCAAGCGGATCGTCCGCAGTGTTGTTGTTGTTGTTGCTGTTCGATTGTTGCTGCTGCTGCTGTGCCAGCGGCAACTGTTGCTGCTCGCTGTTGCTGCTGCTGTTGCCGCCCTCGGCAGGCGTGCCCGACGTAGCTGCTGCTGCTGCTGCTGCTGCTGCCGCCGCTGCTGCTGCTGCTGCTGCTGCTGTGGCAGCTGCTGTTGTTGGCGCTGCACCACCCGTTAGAGCCGCCAGCGCAACCGCATTGCGTGCGGTTAGCACCGCTCGGATCTTGACAAAGGCCGCACTCAAATCGAGCCGCTCGTCGGACCAGTCAATGGCGCGCGCCTCCTGCTCGGCGGCGAGCGTTTGGAATTGCAGCTGCAACTGTTGCTGCTGGCTGCTGCTGCTGCCGCTGTTGCTGCCGGCCCCGGCGCCGGCTGCATCGCTGCCAACCAGCAGAGCACCACCCAAACTGGTTGTTAGTTGAAAGTGACTCACCCGCTTGTGATTGTCCGGCAGATTCAGATAGCACTCGTTATCGAAACGGAATTGCGACTGTTTTGTGCGAGCGTGTGTGTGCGCGTGTGTGTGCGCATGTGTGCGCGCATGTGTGTGTGCGGATGTGTGGGTCGTAACAACAGACAGACGCAAACACAGCGTTGTTAGTGTTGTTGTTGTTGTTGTTGTTGTTGTTGTCGTTGGTGGCATTGGTGCAAAGTTGGTGCAGCGCATTGAGACAAAAAGAGAAAAAGAGAGAGAGAGAGTAAGAGAAAGTAAGAGACAGAGAGAGAGAGAGAGAGCGCACACAAGTGAACAAGAAAAAAATAGAAAAAAATACACATAATTATTGTTATAAGTACGATTTTCACAAAGGTCTGGGCTGAGGGATCTGGTTGGAGAGGGTGGGGGAGAGCTTCACAAGGACATGGTGCTGCTGCTGCTGCAGTGCAGTGGCTCTTCTTCTTTCATTTTTTTGGCGGTGCAGCCACAGTGGCACGGTGGTACAGTGCTTACAACTAGATACGGTGGCCCCACTTACCTTGTAGCCCGGCCCCAGGCGGTGCATCGCGCAGATTTGCTGCGTTGTCAGCGCCTCGCTGAACAAATAAATTGCCGACATTTGGCCACAGAAGACGCGCTCCTCATCCAGTTCGGGCGTGGCGCCTATATAGCACTTGTCAAAGGGCTATAGAAAGAGAGAGAGAGATGGAGAGTGGTCGATTGAGCTTGTGGCATGGATTTCGCTTTAAAGGTTCTGCTACTCACATCGTTTGTGGAAACAAACCAGGCCATTTCGGTTGACGACGCCAGTTGTCCATTCACGAGGCACTTGATTTCGCTTTTTGTCCAACGATTGTATATGTACACTATGGCAATCATATACCACTAATGGGAGAGTAAGACAGAGAGAGCGGAAGGGAGAGAGTCAAAGATAGAAATATTGATTAGAATTGTTTGAATATATTAATCAAAATACTGCAGATTTACATGCTAAATAAGCCCATTCTTTTGTTGCAGGCATTATAAATAAATATATATCTATATATTTATATATATCGGAATCAATCTGATTGGACTTCTAAGTATGTTATATAACTGAAACTGATTGATCGCAAATCACATTTTTGCATGGAATTGCTTTTTCTTCTTATCTCTTTTTCTTTTGTTTTTTATGTTTTTAAATATTTTAACCGACATATCTTCGCCGTTTACCATAGCTCAGCCGACAAATCGGTGGATATATATATGTTGACACGAATACCTCACGCGATTTGCCTATTAAGTGCCTTTTTTGTGTGCCCCAAATGAATTTACCATACCAAAGGTGAGATCATTTATTTCTTCTAAGAATAAAGTCCATTGAAATGTTAGCTTTGCCGCCAACTTTGGTAGAGGCCGTTGTTAATTTTCTTCCCAAAACTAATTTCAATTGCTTTGGGCAGGTAATTTAGCTCTGCTGTTGGCCATGCGATGGGCTGTTAATTAAACTTTGGCAGTCCGGAATCACGCCCATAAATTGAAAGTAGGCAGCCAAGTGGCAAGTAGCAAGTGGCAAGTGGCAAGCGTGTGTTTGTGAGGCTAATGGGTCGTAATTCACAGGTGTAACGACTCGAACCGGAACGGGAGTAACCCGGGGTAACCCTGGGGCACTTACCTTGCGTGGCTGGAATTCATATTTGACACAATGCTGAAAGCCCTTGCCCTTGACCTTCATCGATGTGAGGACCAGACAGTTGCCCACAAAGTGAGCCGTATACCCAACGCCCTTCGATGTCTTGAAGCTGAAGTTGTGAGCGTGGGAAGAAGACAAGAAATATATATAAGCAATTAGTAAGTGTCAATTAGTTACAAGCAGTACGCAAGTACGGCCAGTATGTGAAAAGAGAGGCAGCCTTTTTTGGGCGTTGGAGTCAGCTACTTACCAGTAGAGATAGGGTTTCTCGCGCTCAATGTTCACCGAGTTAATTGGATCCAATCGAAACCAGGTGGTAAAGGTAAATCCATTTTCGTAAGGCCATTTAGCCAGCGGCGGCAGCACCATTGCCTGTGAAATGCAACAATATGTGCGGCATGATTAGAAAACGAAGACACGAAAAAAAAGAGGCGTTGCTCAAATGTAATATAATTAGTTGCAAGCGCACACACATACAAAGAGAAACAGAGAGGGTGTTAGAGGGGAGGAGAAAGAGCGAGAGAGAGAGAGAAAGAGGGGGAGTGAGGCAGAGCCTGGTCAATCTTAATTAGCAGCCGGGCCGTTCAAATGAACCGCATAATATACAAAGTAGCAGACCACAATCCCAATTGAGCCCCCTTTGGTGGCATGCAACACATGTCTATCAAAGCCACAAAAGACACAAAGTCGCAAAGTCACAAAGTCACAAAACGAAACAGCGTGAGGCATTCGGGGAATGAAAAGCAAATGAACCAAATGAAAAGCCAAACCAAACTGAGCATAAATCAAACCGTCGAACATTTATGCACTGTTTGCCAAAGGCAAAGCGGGCATATTGGCAGAATTGAGTAATAATTTAGGTTCACTAAAAAATAAGAAATGCTCCTTTTCATTTTCCTTTTCTTTTAAGCACACATTTTGAAAGTCGCAGTCTAAACACTACAGATTACGAGCCATTCTCTGATGCAGCCTTGGTTTCATAATTTGTATGTCAAAGCTTTGCAGTCGCAGCTAAAGTATCACCCTTTCGGACTAAAGGTTTCGGAAATACATAATGAGTCACAATGAGTTTGATAGGCCTTACATTGTCCCAGTTATGGTCAACATTTTGTAGTTAAAGTTTTGCAGTCACAGCAAAAGTTTTACAATTACGGACCTACATTTTCGGAATGTTCTCATGCGTTAAAATATTATCGAACCGCCCACAAATGAAAGGCGTTGGCCCCATGTCTTCGAGCTGGCCATAGAGTATTCCGCAGTCGAGAGTTTTCAAGAAGCTTCGAGCATGCAGAAATTTTGAGAGGGAGTGGAGCAAAGCTTAGAAAATGCTGCCGAAAAGCAGCCGCAAATGCGGATGGCAAAATTGAAGTGAAAATTAAAAGGAAATGAGCACATTTTGATTTATCATGAATTTTGTGGTTTTACGGCCAAATACAGCGGTTGGAGAGTTTTCATACACACATACACTCACATATACAGACACACACACACATACTATAAACTGCAACTGCGTGTTGACTTTTAGTTTATAAACTTATTTCCCTTTTAATGCTCGCAAATTTATGTTCTTATCATGTTTGTATAACTAAACGCCACGCCCAGCGCCCAACTGTCTCAACGCCTCAAATTCACATCCGTTTTGTTTATCTCGCATTTTGTATTTTGTGGATATTTTGGTCATTTGCAAAATGCATGCAAATGAGAGTTAGTTAATTGGAAAATGTTATGAATTCGCAATTGACAATCGGAAGAAAGGAGAGAGAATGGGCGGGAGTGTGTGTGTGTGTGCTTGTGGGAATGAAAAAAATATATATATATCATACAAATATATAAAAGCAGATGCCAGCATGCTTTTGGCATGGGAAGTCCATAACAAAAAAAAAAATACAAAGCACTCTTATGGACTGCCTCTCTTGCTCTTCCCCTTTCCGCACGATTTGATAATTCCCTTAGGCGCTCTCTGATATATTAATAAGATATGCTGCGGCTTGGCAGAAATGCGAGCAAAACTGTAAAATTCGCAGTTGTGGACGTTCCAAAAGCAGAAAAGTATTCTAAGCAAAAACATATTTCTTGGGCGCCTCTTCCTGTCCGTTGAGCTTTGTCAAGATATCTGAATAAATAGCAAAATGCCTAGTCAGCTATATGCTATAGTAGTTTGATCCGACAGATTCTGATTAGTACGCGGCTTGCAGCCAATAATATAAGCATAAGCCTTAAGGCTGCGAATCTTGTGTGGACATACGGACAATACTCAGCCGTATATTGTTATTGATCAGGAATATATATACTTCATGGTATTGGAGCTGTCTCTGCTTTAATGCAGCACTCTTTTCAAAGCAAAGTCTTAATGTACTCCTGAAAAAACTTTCTGAATGCTTCAGAAATCGAGTTAATGGAACAGCTTTGGGTTTTGGCTCTGTTAAGGGTTAACAAAAGATCTTTTTAGATCGTAATACGCTTGAATTGCAATATTTTTGGAATTTCCTAAAAGCTATGTTCACAAAAACGCAAAAACCCAATTGATTTCAACTGAACGCGCCTGGCGGCTTAGGCCAGTTTCCATTGGGCCAACAAAAAAGAGAACCTTTCAATTTGTTACACGTAATATATATATTCTATATATGCATATATATTTGCTGATAAATAATTGAAGTATTTATTGAATACTGCAGCCATTTGAAATAGGAAAAGCATTAATTTGAGCACATGCAAAGGCAAAAAAGATTGTTAACATTCATTTAATAGTCCACTAAAAAGAAAATAATAGCAGAAAAAACTTAAAAAGCGGGCGTTTTATTGAATGCTTGACTTACATTCATAACATTCATTTGCAGTTGAATCGGACACACACGCACAGACACAAACACACACGCGCGCGCGCGCACCCACACATACATTCATTCGCTCTATAATATTCATTTAACATTTATTCGCTTTCGTATTTGCTTTTGGTAGCCGGCAACAAAGTTCGCATTCATTTGCATGCGGAGATGAGCATTCTGTGGCGAATGTGAGCCGAACGGACATTGTCTTGAGGCCTCATTCAATTGTGCAACACGGTGCAACAATGGCGGAGCGTGTGGCCATATGCCACATGATTTAACATTGTTGCCCCATGTCTGCCAGCTGTGCCTGTCGCAATTTCTCGCTCTCTCTCCGCCCCGTTTACCCTCTGTGGCTCGGTGAGAATGTCAAGCATGGGCAGCGAAAAAGAGTGTCGTAGTGTTGGGGCGGGGGCGTGGCTATTGCCTGGCTTTCTTGCTACTGCCACATGCCACGCAGAGCTGCATCTGGCGGGCAACTCATTAGTGCAACGAAATGCGAAGGTTTTCTCAATAAGCATTGAGGCCTGGAAACTTGTCGCAGCGAGGGCCGAGAAGCAGCCCCATCCAAAATTAAAGCCCAAAAGTGCGCTAAATGAAAACCAAACAAGTAAGAGATTCTAATCAGGAGCTCCCGACTAGGGGATACTCTGAACTCTCTTCTTCCAACATCAAATGCATATATATATTCTATTTTAGAAGCTATATATCAAGTTTGGGGCTCTCTAGCTCTTATTATTTACCGAAATTGCCCAAAAAACAGGATATCGATATCGATTTTTATCGATTGCTTGGAGACGGAGTAAGTTATCGATTATCGGAAACAAACTCGATCTGCGCAGGCACTAGGAGCACCTACATCTAATATTTCAAGTCTAAAGCTCTTATTTGTTCGTGCGTTCATACATACGAACGGACGGACGGATGGACAGACAGACGGACATGGCTAGATCGACTCGGCTATTGATGCTGATCAAGAATATATATACTTTATGGGGTCGGAGATGCTTCCTTATGCTTGTTACATACATTTAGATTTGCACTTGCACAAATACCATATACCCCTATACTCATTTTTAAAGGGTTCAGGGTATAAAAAGCGTGATGTTACCCCTTGCCATTTTGTCGATTTGGGTCAAAATTTTGGATTTCCTTGTTTTGATGCCAATCGATAGAACTGATCCTTACGAGTCAAAAATAATATAAAATTCCAAAATCGGATAATTATTTTTCGTGGAGTTATGTCGCTTTGAAACGTCATATCTCCGCGGGGAGTTATGTCGTTTTGGAACGTCATATTTTCGCGGGGAGTTATGTCGTTTTGGAACGTCATATATCCGCGGGGAGTTATGTCGTTTGGAACGTCATATCTCCGCGCGGAGTTATGTCGTTTTGGAACGTCATATCTCCGCGCGGAGTTTTGTCGTTTTGGAACGTCATATATCCGCGGGGAGTTATGTCGTTTTGGAACGTCATATCTCCGCGCGGAGTTATGTCGTTTTGGAACGTCATATCTCCGCGCGGAGTTATGTCGTTTTGGAACGTCATATATCCGCGGGGAGTTATGCCGTTTTGGAACGTCATATCTCCGCGCGGAGTTATGTCGTTTTGGAACGTCATATCTCCGCGCGGAGTTATGTCGTTTTGGAACGTCATATCTCCGCGGGGAGTTATGTCGTTTTGGAACGTCATATCTCCGCGCGGAGTTATGTCGTTTTGGAACGTCATATCTCCGCGCGGAGTTATGTCGTTTTGGAACGTCATATCTCCGCGCGGAGTTATGTCGTTTTGGAACGTCATATCTCCGCGCGGAGTTATGTCGTTTTGGAACGTCATATCTTCTTTCGATTTTCGCACCGACCTCGATTTTGAAAAAAAAAAACGTGATGTAACCCCTTGCCATGTTGTCGATTTGGGTCGAAACTTTGGATTTCATTTTTTTGATGCCAATCGATAAAACTGATCCTTAGGAGTCAAAAATTGTATAAAATTCCAAAATCGGACATTATTTGACGGAAATATTCCAAAAAATCATCAACAAGATGGAATTTACGAACGAATGGGTTTTTTTTCAACAACATTTTTCAACCCATCGATGATTCATTTGTTTGAATGCCAATTGATGGTAGGGATCCGTGCGCATTCAAAAGGTATAACATTTTAAAATCAGACATTATTTACCCGAGATATTAAAAAAAAATCATCGAAAAAGTTTCGATATTTGCACCGACCTCGATCTTGAAAAAAATCGTGATGATTTGGATAGTCTTCGCGCGGAGTTATGTCGTTTTGGAACGTCATATCTTCTTTCGATTTTCGCACCGACCTCGATTTTGAAAAAAAAAACGTGATGCCATTTTGTCGATTGGGGTCAAAATTTTGGATTTCATTTTTTTGATGCCAATCGTCATATCTCCGCGGGAAGTTATGTCGTTTTGGAACGTCATATCTCCGCGGGGAGTTATGTCGTTTTGGAACGTCATATCTCCGCGGGGAGCTATGTCGTTTTGGAACGTCATATCTCCGCGGGGAGTTATGTTTTGAAAA